GGGGGGGGGTGAATGTTTTCCATGGTGGCTGGTTGGTCTCCTCAGATTCACTGACCTTTGCTGCTCTTCTCCCTGCTCGGTGGAGGGAACAGTCAGACAGGAGTCACTGTGGCTGTGGAGCAGCCTCAGAGTATCGCCACCTCTCAGGTATCCTGGAGTCAGGACGACACACGACAAAGAGTTCTCAACCGAAAAAGGCTTTTGAGTGAAACTCTGTCGACTATACCTGGTATCACTATGAAAGATACATCCATCATTATAATTAGGAATGCACTAATAGTACTACATAGTACTTGGTACATGGTACAATCCATTCCTAGTACTCCATTATAAACTCCGCTCACTTACTGGCCTGGTGGCTGTGTTATCCAGACTGAAAATATATTTTTATTTACTGTAAATCTTTAGGTTTTATTTTTATTTTTTTGTATCTGCTAAAAAACATACATTGTTTTATTTATTTATTTATTTTTTTATCTGCTAAAAAACATACACTTTTATAGAGCAAACCCTGTATTGCTAATAAATCCATTATTTGAACCATTTTCCCGAAGTTGTGAGAAAACAAACACTTCAAGACTGGAATTCCTTTGCGGTCGATCATAGTTTTCACACGCTGTAATATAAAACTGTACGAATTTAAACTTTTCGGAGCGGAGCGTAGAATACAGAAGAAGAATCTCGCCTGGAGCGACTCCACCTCCAGAGCAGATGGGAGCAACACTCCAGAGAGTCTGCTGGAAGGCTGCATTCACAATCAGGCTGTCACTCAAGCTCCTGTTATCAACGGCTGCACCAAAGGACATGTGCTGCAGAGAAACAGGATGACAACGAGAAGTGAGTACAGTGAAGGTGTTGTTTTATGTTGCAGTGAAATCGATGATTTGTGAATGAAATTTGTTTTTTATCCAGATCAGCTCTGAAGAGAGAGATTGGATGATGAAATCTATTGAAAAAGGAGCGACTTCAGAAGTTTAATTTGAAGCCTTCCACGGCGCACACCGACTCACCAGATATCTCTCTGAGGACACGTTGACCAGTATCAGGTCATCTCCCACACGCACTTTCTCACCCTCTGACCTCTGCCTGGACGCTGGGTGGATTGTCCACCAGCACGCCTCACCTGATCGTGATTATTCAGTTAAATGACATTAAGAAAAAGTGAAACAGTGTGAATTCATGAGTGAATACCTGCTCTATCCTCCTGCAGACCGACATCAAACGCCAGTTTGTCGGCTGAAGACTGGGACGAAGACAAGCAGCTGAGATACTGGGGGGGGCGGTAGATGCATTGATGAAGAAATAAAGAAAATAATAAACAGCAGAATTAAAGGCTCAGCACGTCAACATCACTCACCATGCCACTGTACGAGTGCAGGAACAGTACAGCCTGGCCATAAAGAAGTGTACGGTGGTTTCCTCCAGCTCCTGTCTGCCTCCACAGGAGGGGAAGAATAAGGGGAGACAAAAGACACGTTAAAAAAAATTATAATAATAATAATAAAAAATAATATATATGTATGTATATATATATATATACACATATATACTGTATATATTTTTTTGTTGTTGTTGATGTTTGTTGGTGTTTGTGATTCAATTCAATTCAATTCAATTTTGCAGCAAAGATACTTCTTAAACAGAAGAAAATCAAACAGTACGAGCACGTATTTGTCACAGCTCCAGATGGAGGGGTACCTGAGGTTTTTATTATTGTTTTTCCATAATATTTAAGTGCAAAATAATTCACATTTTTTTAGGGAAGGAAAGGAGAGAAGAGTCACCTCTGCAGCCAGGTGTTCAGTGTGGGCCAGCGTCTCCTGCAGGGCTCGGACGGAGAGACACTGGGACAGGATGAAGCCACATATGGACAGATCTGGAGGAACGTTCTGGCAGACGTGAGAAGGACAAAAAGGACAGGAGACAGTTTCATATCTGTCCACAGTCTCCACAGAAGGTCAAATCAGATATTTAGGGTAATAAAAAAAACAAGTCTAATAGTTCAGTGTTTCTGTACAGCTCAAATATTTTCAATTTCTGGGGAAATTGTTTTGTTTTTATTTGCACCATTTCACACGTCTGCTGGTTATTTATACAAAATAAAGACTGACAAAGTGTGACGGGGAGAAGCGGGGAGGAGGAACTGCATCCTGGTCTCACTGACATGAAACCTTTTACCTTGCGGTTGGACGTGGACTCCAGTCGGCAGAGTTTGCTGCCAAATCCCTCTGCAGCCAGACAGAACTTCACATGTTCCTGCCGAGAGGTGAAGGGAGTGAGAGGTGAAGGTACTCTGCAGAACCACCTCATCTCCCTGAGGGGAAGGAAAACACTTTCACAAAGTTTATCAACTTTCACAGAGTGATGTAATGTTATGATGTTAAAGTATCTTTGCTTAATTTCTTTATGTGGAAAAGTCAAAGGAAATTCTGTCAATTTACATCAGTGTTTCTCTTTTTCAAGCCATGGAATATTCCCTGGGACACCACTAAAAAAATCCCAAAAAGTATAGATATTGAAATATAACTAACTACTAGTTTACTGGGCCTGTTTAGTTGAACATAAGCCTGATGTAGTAGTTTTTAGTTGTTATATATGCTGCCATCTAGTGGTAGAAGACTTATGTGATCTGTCCGTTACTGCGTAGAAGAATGGAGGAAAATGATTTAACTTTTCAGAACATGGTACACCTGATGATGTCTCACAGCACACTAGTGGGCCACACCCCCTAACTTAAGCCACAATATATTGACTCTCTTTTCAAATCACATCTTAAAACTTCTATTTGAATAATTTTAGAACTAAGAAGGTTCCACTGTAGAGTTCTTTAATTTTATTGTGGTCTTTTTTAATTTTATTATTGACAAACAACAACATGTCATCGTCCCATCAGTCGTACAGACCAGAGCTCTGACTGTACTGACAGTCAGAGCTCTGACTGTACTGACAGTCAGAGCTCTGACTGTACTGTAAATATCCATCCCCTAAATTTTATCTTATCTCCGTTTCCCTGCCAGTGGAACATTCAGACGGAATCAGGCTTCTATTTAGGGAGCAGCAGAGCGGGACAACAGACAACAGGTCTCCGACGTCAGTCCTGGTCCACCGACACCTCTGTGTGCCCAGGCTGAGTGCCTCCAAACTGGGACGACATGACGCTTTCTGACCCCTGACTCACCCGTCTTTCCACTCTCCATATCAGCTTAACTCTCTCTCACACACACACACACACACACAGAGGGACACTGTGGTGCATTCAAATGTCATGGGGCATCCTAATGTTCACAGACGTTAGAAACTTTTCAGCACCTCGAGGTTGAAGCGACGGGTCAATAAACGTGTTTTTTCTGTCTTCAACTTCACTGACTTTAAAGACTTTTTAAAGTTTCCTCGACAAACACTCACCCCACAGTGACTCATACAATGGCTGCACTAAAGTGATTTGATTTAATTTAGTTTTGCGTTGACAGTAAAAAAAACATAAAAAGTACCAATGTTTTGTTTGTTCAGGTGCAGCGATTTAGTTTTGCGTTGACAGTAAAAAAACCATAAAAAGTACCAATGTTTGTTGAGGTGCAGCAGGACGTCGCTGAAGTTCGTTTCATCATTAACTTGGTCTCAAACACCGACGACTGATTCAAACAAATACCTCGACGTTAATCAGCGCAGGGATTATATTTCTCATCTAATCCATCACAGAAGCTAATGACCAGACGAGAGCCAAGAATCTCAGCCGTTTCCCGCCTTCGCTGGATAAATGCCCCTGGGAAACCCTGTGCATTTAATGCAGTTATATATGACACTGATACAGACGATGTTATTTTATACAGTGGGTCGATGGTACACAGTGACAGTGACAGTAACTGCTGGTGTCGGGTCTGTGTGTGTGTGTGTGATATGTTCTTTACTGTGACGCGTCCTTGTCAGAGGGCAGAGATAACAAGCTGTGAGAGAACGACTTACGACTTTACAACAACTGCATCATTTTACAGTTTACATTAACAAAAAACACCCATTGATCTGAGAAACCTTCTCTATTTTTAACACAGATGAAGCTGTGACAGGGACAGAAAGGTTCTGTTAATTGTTTAACTGTGGTCAGACCACGATGCAGGTGTGACGAGTGTTTAACATGAGAATAAAATTTGTAATTTTGCCAAATGACCCGTTGGAGGCGCTCTGTGACCTTTGACACGTTTGACCAGATCACACTTTATTCTGACTTCTCTGATTGATTGAAATTCTTTGGGCTTTAGTGGTGTCAAAATGAATGATGGTGGAATTAAGAAATGGAAAAATACATTAAAATAAAATAAATACATGTTTAAATGAATACTTTAATAATTAGCCAATGGTTTTCCAGGTAAATAAAAACCATTTGTCTGCAGATTTTTTAATATTTTACTAATTTGCTTTAGCAAATCAATCCTTTTCTGGATCTACTGGAACATGTATTTGTTCATTCATCTAATAAAACTGTTGTTTCTATCACACTTTGACTCGTTAACATAACTTAGTTAATAACTCAGATTCTGGTCAGTTTTTACTCACCGTTCGTAGAAACTGAAAGTCATCGTCTCCGTCCACGCAGGCGGTCATTTTGATATTCGGGAACCAAAGAAGCCAATGAAGAGGAGCGACTTTGATTGTGACGGTGGCGAAGGGAGCAACGTGACCAGAGGAGGCCGGAGGAGGAAGGTGAGGAGGTGACGGCTGTCAGGCTGAGGGAGGAGTCAGCTGATAATGGACTCCAACAAACGGAGGTGCGAGTCTTTCCAACTCTGCTTCAAACTCCTATCTTCATATTTGGAAATCTGTAATCACTGTGTTCCATGGAGTCTGACTGATGTTAGTAAATATATTTTTTGAAAAGAACTGTCTTGAAATATATGTCAATATAAACAAAATTATAAAATATCTTTTCAGGAGTGACAGTCGACCGGGAGAAACTGTGACCTGGAACCTGAACAGACTGAACAGACGTGCAGTGGAACACAGTGGAGTCTTGATGATCTGATCAGGTCCAGGTGAGCGACAGAGGTGAGGTCTGACCTGACGACCACACCCACGGAGCAGGTGGAGGAAACAGACAGGAAACTGTTTTTTTAATGAACTTAATGAATTTAAATACTTTTATTTAACATAAACCATTGTAGAAACTTTCTCTGTGTTCAGTGTCTTCTGTTCAGCCACAAAAACTTCACTTGTAAATCCAGCGAAGTCCACAAAAACTTCACTTGTAAATCCAGCTTGGCTTTATGGTTTCATAATAAAAATAAATTATAACAGGAAAAAAGGGAGGAAAGTTCATGATTATTTAATATTTTTTTGCAACAGTGAGAAAAAAGAAAATTCCAGCAGATCCAGGGTCAGCGTTCAGCCGTCTGCATCTGCAGCGAGAGAAATGGGAAATGGGGGAGATGGTAGAGGGGAGAGGGAGGAGGGGAGGATGGGAGAGAGAGGCCACTATCATACTACTGCAACAGTATAGTACTACTACAGAACTATAATACTACTACGACACTATAACCCTACTACAATACTGTAATACTACTCCAGAAGAACTAATGTGAATTTAACTGCAGTTACTGTAGTTGTACTCAAAAGGAGGTACCTCTGTGGTAAATACTGCAGTAATCCAGTACTCCCCCTGATGCCAGGAGGTACTTCAGGTCCAGTAACTGATGCCAGGGTAGATTGTTGGACTCCTGGCAGCAGTCGGACCAGTCGTTGACCCTGTTCAATCAGAACCATCTGGAAACTCTTCGTTGGCGTCTGTTGAATCAGCACTGATGATGAACTGACAGTCGTTGAAGTACTGAAGTACTGTACAGTACACACATCCTCCAGTTTTACCCAATATTGAACCCCGTCTTTTCCACATTTGTCCTCAGAGTTTGACTAATGTCTGACGATTCCTGATGAAACGCAGCGACTGGAGGAAGTTTTTTTTTTTTTCAATTTTTGTATAATTGAACTGAAGCGTTTTTTTTTTTTCTTTTTTTGTTCAATTTTTGTATAATTGAACTGAAGACATATTTCAGTCTCATTGTTTATTATTATTATTTTCCTGTTCTTTCACTGTTTCATTTATGTGTCATTTACACGTGTACCTAACTGGAAAAAGTATAATACTTATACTTAAGTAATGTGTAATATTTTTACTGTACTCAGATTAAGAGCAGTACTTGTACTCAAGCAGTGTGTACTTATACTGTACTCAGGTATAGTTTAATACCTCTACTGTATTTGACTTTTACTACTATCAAAGCTGGAGATTTTCAAAGTATTTTGTGTTTTACTTAACAGGTAATATATTTCGTTCGACCATATTTTCATCAAGGATCGTGACTCCGACGATGGATAGCAGTAAAAATCATCATCATGACTCAACAAATCCCTGGTCGTCATTAAAAATGTTCCATTTAATTATAGATGAAAATGGGAAAATTATGCATTCATTAAACTCAGAGGTTCAATTTGATCAGAGAAAACCACCAACATCCAACCACGGAGCCGCCGTGTTGATCACCTGACCTTTCCTCCTTCACTCCCACTAATCAGAGCTGCCTGATTGTCCTGACATTTGTTGACCAAAACCATTATTTAGTTTTTTGGAGTTTTGTTTTTTGTTTTTCAAGTTTGTCCTTAGATTGATTTTTTTTTTTCATTATTCCTCCAGAGACAACTGCTGTAAGAAAATCTAAATTATTAACATATTTTTCTCTCCATTCTTCTGCTGCACAAGTCAGAGTGAAGGGAACATTTGAATCGACTCAGCTCTCTGTCAAATCTCACACAGACGCATTTTTATCTTCTTCCCAGAGAAGGTGATGTTTTATTTAAGAGGTAAAAATCTTAAAAACCCAGAACGACCGTCAGCTTTTACTGCATAACTGTTGATCCACAGATTTATTCACGATTTCAACGGTGGTTTGGAGATAATTTCCAGTCAAATACAAGACATAAAAGACACTTTTTTATAATAATAGTTCACATAATTTGACATTAGGGTTTGAATTAGTTGTCGCCAACAGGCTTGTTAGGTCTTTATTTCTTTTATTTTATGTCTTTATTTTCCTGTTGAAATAAAAAAATGTTAAAAAAAATAAAAAGTTTAAAAGGCCACAAATGAGTGGTTCCCAAACTGGGGGGCGCGGAGTGAAAGAAATCCAAACCGTTCGTGACAGTTTAACTGGAGCTCGTGTTTTCTGCGCTCAAAAGGAGAAGTTGTGAAAAAGGATTCAAAGGGTGAAAAAGTGTCTATCCTATTGATTTCTACAGTTAGCCCAGTATATTTTCTTGCTTTTTAAGAGGATCCATTTTTACTGCTCGAAGTTGGCCGACAGCAGATTGATTTTGGGAGATGTAATGCGCCTTGAGCATCTCGCGGAAAAAAAAAAAAGTGCTTATTGAGGAGAAGGTGCTTCCAAACAAGAGACACTGTGAGGAAATAATTCAAAAAATACCAGACGGGTGAGAGTGGATTTTTATGTCCAATTTTCTTCGACTGACAAACTACTGCTGCACAATCTCTGCCGCTGCACAGGTGTCAGAAAATGCTTTATTCTCCGATGGCAAAACTCAAACCTGACAGAAACCTTTACTCTGGGCTTATATTTTCACGACCGGAGCATCACGACACAAAGAAGCGCTCAACGTGATTATACACAGAGTAATGTGTCGCTAACACTGTGGCTAAAACTGTGGCTAACACTTTACATCTAACATGTTTGAGTTTAGATTCTCTATGAATTCACTAACACAAGGAGCCATGAGGGTCAGTGGGTTTGGGCGTCAGACAGTGAAGGGTTAAAGGTCGCTCTCTCCGTAGAGGGCGGTGGAGAAGGCGGTGTAGTCCAGGGCTCCCGGCGGTGCTCCGTGGACTTTGTACGGAGGCATCCTCATGATGCAGTACTCTGCCTGTTCTGGGGGAAGTTCTCTCCTCAGCTCCTCCACCAGGATGTAGGGCTGGAGTCAGAGAGGGCGTGGTTCATGAATCTGGCTGGCACAGACACGGCCGCGCCAATATAAACACAGCACATACCTTGTCCGCTGCCAGGATGCGGAAGGACGCCACCACCTGCTCGGCGGTGTCGGTATCTGCCGTCTCTCTGGTCATGAAGTCGATGAAGGACTGGAAGGACACGATGCCGGTGCCGTTGGGGTCCACCAGGATCATGATACGGGCGAACTCCACCTCGCCCTGAGAAACACGAGCATGGATGGAGTCAGCAGACAGCAACGACAAAACTGAAAGAAAACAAAAAACCAAGAACTGATGACACCGTGATCATTTCTCACCAAGTCGTATCCCATGGAGATGAGACACGCTCTGAAGTCGTCGGTCTCCATCGCTCCATTCTTCTTCTACGGTCAGAGTCCAGATGTTTGGGTTGAAAGAAAAAAAAGAAAAAAGACTAGAGTCAGAGTAGGAAAACAATATGTTGAGCATGCTGATGAGGAATGCCATGAGAAAAAGTGATGGCTTGGGTAAAATATAGAAACATATTTCCAAGATGGCCGCACGTACTTTAACACAACACGAACTAAAGACCATGTCAACACCACAGTGTGTGTGTGTGTGTCCTGTATGTACTACAGATGAAGTTGAACCTTGATCTTACTCTGACCAGATTATTTAAAGGAAACACACTGCTTTGAACCTTTCGCCCCCTGTCGTATTAAAGGAAACACACTGCTTTGAACCTTGTCGCCCCCTGTCGTTCAGATTATTTTTATCCACCTTCAAAAATGAAGATTTAGTACAATAACATTGGAGCAGTAAGGAGCTCAGGATGTTATTAGAAAACTTATATTAAAAAAATAATAAATAAATAAAATGTATATTTAAAAAATAAGTTAAATTTATATTTTTTAAAAATAAAACAAAAACCATTAAAATTATATTAATAATTTCAGTCTAAGAAAAAAAATTAATGATCCATTGAAAAATTTCCTGGTTCAAATCCCGGCCCTTGCACAGCTGTGGTGTGTTGTACTAAAACCTAGCCATCACCAACTGTTTCACTTCATCTTTCTTTTGTTTTTCTATGTACATATATAATATAGGCTGTACAACAAGTTTCTACTGTGAGTAAAAACACAATAAAACAAAATGTTTGGTCAGACGCAGAAACGTTCAAGTATTTCTACTGCACTTTACGTGACTTGGATATACTACTCTGTGTATAATTACTCTGGCCTGGAGAGAGGGAGGGAGAGAGAGAGAGAGAGAGAATCTGTGGAATGTCTGCAGCTGTTCTCTTGAATTAGTGAAACAATACGCTGAGATAAGTCGCCCACTGAAACACTCCACGATCAGAAGTGTTATGATCCTCATCATAAAATATGTCACATTCATCCAAACACGGCCGCAGCAGCAGCTGCTGTTTATTGTTGAATACTTGTAGCAGTTTTCAGTGACGAAGGGATAAACGGTCAATTCTTCATTCGTTCTCGTCAGTGGGAGTCATGTGAGGTCATGTTTGGAGTTTGGTTTGCGACTCATGCTTAGGTGTGATTTATATATAATATATTTATATATATATATATATAAAATATATACATTTTAATTGTTCATCAGCCTTTTGCAGTATTGTTAAATGGCAGGATGCAGTACCCGGTCAAAGTGGCTAAAAGAGGATCGGAACTCGTTCATCTGTTGCTGACTGATGCCCTTGGCGTCACGGGTCAGGATCTGGGTCTCGATCTCATTGATGGTTCGGGCGATGGTCGTCAGGAGCAGCTCCCACCCGACACGGATGTGCTGGAAAAAGGAGAAATCATACGTGGTGTCATGTAACGCAGTAGTACTCAGTAATAACGTTTGCCTCCGTCCCGTACCTCCATGGTGTAGTTGGTGTGTTTGTTGTCAAACACTAGCGACTCCTGGATCAGCTGGTGATCTCCCTCCAACTTGTCGATGTTGGGCTTGTAGGCCACGATGACGTGCTCGCACTGCTTCAGCTGAGTCATCTGGTCCTCCAGGGCTCCTCTGATCTCCAACGAGCAGCGTCCAATTTCCTGTTGGAGATGTGGAGCCGACAAGGTCAACTGTGCAGCCCTGAAGGTCACTTCTGTTTGGACTGAAATTATTTCTTGTACAATATCGGTCACAGATAAAAATCTGAGTTCATTATTGTGGTGAAGATCCAGATCCAGGTTCTGACTCATGGTTAGAGACCAGCAGGGCAGAGGTTTGTGCTGAATTACCTGCATCATCTTTACACACAAAAGTCACTCCCAGTCCATTTCTCTACATGGGGGGGTTTTAATGTAATTACGCTCCTTTTGCGGCCGTTATTAGATCAGACAGAGTTAACGACGGCTAATTGCCCTGTGAACCCTGAGAGTCTAACCTCCATCCTGGCCTGGATCCAGGGCCCGATTAGATTAGCCTGGGCAGCAAACTGTCGTCTCAGTCTTTCGTGGGCATGCTGGCGTGCCATCTCCTCCTGAAGGGCACCGTCCCTCTGAGGCACCAGCTTCTTCACCTGGAAAACAGAACGAACGTGCACGCACAGAGGGAATTATTTAGTGTGGTCCACTCACTGAACATTAAAAAATAAACATCTTATTACATTTGCTTCAATCATTTCAGGCCTTTCCTCTGTGTTCTGCTGTTAAAGCATCACTTATCGACTTTCAAACAAAATAAAGTGAACAGACACAACACTGGGCCATTTTTTGGTTGCGTTTCACATTGATTCAAAAGGTCTTCAGACTAAATTGACCATTTCCCGAAAGCACTGTAGTTTGGTAAAAAAAAAAAGAAAAATTCTCACAGTGACATTTTACTTAGTGTTCTGTAAACCCACTTTCCTCCATGTCAGACTGAGCGGTGGCTTCTAAATTAGCTACTCTTCCACACCAACAAAAAAAAAAAAAAAAAAAAAAAAAAAAAACGCCTGTTCTTTCTTTTTCCACCACGGCTGCTGTTATTTAACCAACGGCCGCAGCCTCAGTAATGGCTTCATTTGTGGAGCCGGGGCTCTCGGAGCTGTAGCTACCTTTTCCCATTTGTTGAGCAGCTCCTCTGTTGTGATGGTGCTGTAAGGGTTGGTAATGTTGGCCTTGATCCCGTAACTCTGTGAAATTTTCAGCACCTCATTGTGGATTCCCAGGATGGCCTGTCTCTCAGCATCAGCCTCAGGTAGAGTCGCTTTGAACTGTTCATGGGCAGCGATTAGACTCTGATAGAGGGGGGAGAGGGAGAGCGGGAGAGAAATGTTATAATCAATATTTGTCGAGGTTGATCATAGTTATGCCTTATTCATTATTGGACACACTGAAGACTCTGGGCTGTAGCTGCTGCAGGCGTCACCTGAGTTTCTTCAATGGTGTGGACGATGAACATGTCCTGCAGATCCTCCATGGCTCCTTCCATCCAGTTGTTGAACGGAGCAGATCTCTTAGAAAACTCCAGGAACAGCTGATCAATAGTCTCCAGCAACTTCTCCGTCCGCTGAAAGCAGTAGAAAAAAACAAAAACACTTGTTTCACTGCTACTAAAAAACTAATATCCTCACCATTTTTGAAGCCAAATCCCAGGTGACATTATAGCGGCGCGACCTTGTTGACCCCTCAAACTTAAGCGCAGTCAATAGTGACCGAAAACAGACCCCTGTCATTCAGACCTAATCCTTGGCTCTTTTCCCAGGCCCTCACACATTCACGGGTCTGGAATGGGCCGGTGTGGATCAGAGGAAGTGGCTGCCGGGCTGTGAGCCAATCACTTCCCTGGACGTGGCTCCTGCATCTATTTTTCCCTTTGTCCCCCACCATGCTGTGACTTTTGTCTTCAGTTTGGATCAAAAGATTTCAGAGGGGATCCAATTATCTCTGCTCCTCAATATACCCCCCCCCCCCCCCCCGTCCCCCTCCTTCAACAGCACACACCCTAATCTACCTAAGACTACAACTTAAATTAACCTGCTTCAACGAGTCAGGGTTCCAGTCAGTGTGGAACATTAGCGCACTCTTGTGGAGACTTCCAAAGCTGATAGTTAAAGGAGGTTCTTAAATGTGATGGGGGTGGGAGTTGGGGGTGATTCCTCAAACATCCACAGTTTTTCTACAGAATGTTCTGCTTAAGGACACAGATCAAACCCTAACCCTCAGGGAAGACTAAGAACCGTAGCCTGGAGCAGCGGCCTCACCTCCAGAGCTTCTCTCCTCTTCTGAGTCAGGGTTCCCAGTTTATCCCACAAGTCACAGATGCTCTGGCACCGCTGGTTTACAGCAGCTACATCATGGTAGTCCAGTTCACTGAGGAGACAAAGAGAATTTCAAACATTTCAGTTGAAAAGAAAACCGAGCTCATGGTGTAGAAACATCCGAGTGAAGAGGGAAAAACCATCACATAATTCAGCCGACAGTGCTGGAGGTAAACACTCAGGCAGCAGACGAGTGGAAACGCTTCCACTTTAAACCGACTTGGCTCATTAACCAGGAACGATCTCATTTTAAATCAAACCTGACAACAAGGCTCTTCCCTGTGTTTACACACCTGAGGGAAAAAAAACAAAACTCATAACAGAGTTTTATGACTCTAGTATTTAACCAATTCAGTGGTTCCCAAAATGAGGGGCAGGCCCCCTGGGGTCAAATGAGTTTATCATGTCAGAAAAAAAAACTTTGTTAAAAAAAAAACACTTCCACAACACAGTGTTAAGTACGAAGTTTATTTCACAACTGGACAATGCAACCAACAACAGGAACTTCTTTCTTTCCTCCTGACGGTGTGAAAAGGTCCAGCTCCCCCTAGAGTCCAAAGCTGTAAAACTCCTGTATCTGAGGCTGAGATAAAGGATAGTATCTCTGATAATAGACTTCATCCCAGAAGTCATCTCCAGAATCATAGCCAGACTTGAAGTTTGAGTATGTGCCAAAGGGAAGGTTTGAAAACTGGTAGTGTCTGATCGGTGTTTGCATTTGAGTATAAGGTGAACTCAGCTGAAGAACATCATCAGGAGTGGACGTGTCTGGATCTTCTCCGTAGGGAGTCTGTACTGACAGTCCGTAACCATGTGCTCCTGTTTCACTCTGGTGGTCTCCGTGCTCATAAACAGACTCGTAGTGACTCAGCTCCCCTGCCTGGAATTCTGCTTCTGGAAATGTGTGGGGAATCCAGCTCATCTCCTCAGTTTCTGTCTGTGCATCACCGTTTTCATGGACCTGCTTGTAGTAATCCAGCTCACCTGCCTCATATGTAGGAGGAAGGGCAGAGGAGAGACCATCAGGCTGAGACTGAGGCGTCCTGGAGCCACTGAGCACAGGATCCCAACCAGCAGCTTCAGTGGAGATGTCTGTAGTAAGACCAGGATCATTCATGTCGTCAGGCTGAGCAGGTGCAGCTGCTACTGAGTCATAATAAAGAGCTGCAGGAGCCTTCAGGTTTGACAAACTGCCGTCGTAAGGATTTCTCCAGCTCCAGCCTGAAGGGAGAACTGTACGTGTCAGTCGTACGTCTGTGAAAAGACATTTCCATCAAACTGCACGACATCTTGTCTCAATAAGAGTTTTTCACCTTTTGCAGGAAAACTGTGAACGTTCCCATTAAACACTGCAGTGAGGAGCAGCAACACACTGTAGGAGAAACAGCACTGTCAAAAATGATGTTTAAATGTTTACAAAAATAGGAATGGAATTTAAAGAAAAAACAAAAGGGAGTTTTTTATCTGTCACGTACCTTGTGGGAAACACAGCAGCCATCGTCCTCTTCTCTCAGAGCTCTGCTCTAATTTGAAGCAGGAAGTGTCTCTGACTGGTGATGATGGACAGGTGTGTGTCACTGAGCGCTCATTATAAATGTCAGCAGGTCAGAGGACCACAGCCTTCACTGCTTAGACACAAGTGCCAGTCCACTCTATGTTCATATTTCTATGGGCCACTGGGAGCGAACGGTCGACTGTCCCACGAGACTCCACACTACAGCTGAATAATTACTGCTTTTATTTTAATCTATTTATATATTTACTGCAGATATTTATATCATGGTTAAAAAAATCTTAATATAATTTTAATTATACTGTATTTTTATTTTATAAAGTTTTAATTCTTATTATTTTTTTATTCTGAATTTTTTCTTTTCCATTCAATTTCAGTTCTTTATGTAAGACTTTCGAGTTTATTCGTGTCATTTCTTTTTCTTTCAAGAGTTGCAGTAACAGTTTTCTGTAGTCGCTAGATTAGACAGTGCCCTCTTGTGGTCATTGACGACATGGCGTTTTTAAATTTTCGACGTTTCGATGTTGCTTTGGTATATAGGGCGCAGCAGCACCCATATTGCGATAAGTGCAACTTATATATATATATAAATATAGAAAATACCCATTAACTTGTATACTATATGTAGTAGTTGCTTCTGCTGGTTTAGTTTTTTTCTTCTTTTTTTTGAAAAAAGAAAAACTGATATTATTAATCATATACAAAAATCACCAATCACAGCTGCTCTACTCCCAACAGAAAAACAACCACAAGGGATCCAACCTTCTTGTTGTGAGGCAAGAGCACAGCATGCTGTCACAACAACTTATGTAGCCACACTGTTCTGTGCAACTGTAATGCTAATGGTATTAGAATAATATTGACACAGTTCTCCCCAAACCCCACATGTTTTCTCCATTAAACACGACTTCAAACATCTGCTTTAAAGAGTGCGTACTTTAGCTCCTGTGCGATGGCGGCAATCTGCTCCACTCTGTCCTGGTGAGCTGCCAAGTCGCTCTCGAAGGCCTCGTGTTTACGGAGCAGCGCTCTGATTTCTGTCAAGGTGGTTGTTTCGTAATCCTTCTGGGAGAGGATCTGCTCCTTACCTGAGTATAACACAAAGACAAACGATTAAAAAATGGTGACAAAAGAAAAGAAAAACAACGTCCTCTCCTGGTTAAAGCAGGTCAAAGTAAATCACTTGTGACAGCCCAATATCAACTTGTTGCTTTGCACACAGAATGACCTTCAGTCAAATCTCATTAGGAGCAGAGCGAACAAACACAAATGAAACATCGAGCTGTGAAAATCTCTACAGTTCAAGGATATGGAAATAACAGGTGGCTGTAAATAATCAGATGGGAAAATATGAAGAAATACTGGAAGATAAAACAGAGAAACGTGAACAGAAGCACTTCAACATCTAGAACTGACCATCGGCCCAGTTCTCATGATTTGTGGCTTTTTGGCGAAACTTCTCCGCCAGGTGATCCAGTCTCTCCAGACGGCGGATCTCAGTCAGAAGCCACTCCTCATATCCTTTCTCCGCCTGCTCCAGGCCCTGCCATGCAGTGGCAATGTCCTGAGAACAAAATGAAAAAAAAAAAAAAAAATCACAAAACAAAACTGACTCAGCAGTAATACACACAATGACAAAGACTCTGGTACTGCACACAAATACAACTGGGATTATTTAATCCAGGACTGAGATTTATTAAGGTCATGACTTACGGACACCATCTTGCCCTCCGAGGGCATGAACGCGGGGCGGTTGCTGATGCGCAGCTTGGTCTGAAGGGTGTTGAAGTTAATTTCTAGCTGGCACTTCTCCTGCACCTTGGGAGGCTTGTGCTGGCGTCTGTAGTCCCTGAAATCTTCCAGCTTCTGCTGCATCTCCGCCATGGTCTTCTCCGGGGTCCGGTTCTCCAGCCAGGGTGTGGTGCGGCGGATCCACTCCAGCAGCTGGGAACCACAAGGAATCATGGGAAAAGTAATAAGGCCAGAGATCTAAGGTGAGGTTAGGTAAGGTTTGGTTCATAAGTCCAAATATATTAACTTTTTTTTCTCCAAACAAACCAATATTATATTCTTATAATTTCAGGGCTTTAATCCCACAGAGTGTATATTCTTATAATTTCAGGGCTTTAATTCCACAGAGTGGGAGAGAGTTTTTACCTCACTGGCCAGCCGCTCGTACTCCTCCATCAGTTTCTCATTCTCCTGGTTGACGCCCAGCACCTTACAGATCCTGTTGGCAGCTGTCTCTGCCTGCAGCACAGGGTGGAAGGTTTAATGTGATTACAGCAGCAGAAGTTACCCAGCGTGCCCCGCTCCCATTCATCCTCTCAATGGACCTAATAACATTATCCTCTCCATCACAACGGCGTGTCAAAGTCAAACTGACAATGAAGCTCTGCACCTGAGTCTCTTCTCAATATTCCAAAGAAACGTGGGGAAATGAGAGACTGTCGGAACTCCAGTGTTCATTCTGATGAAGTCTCTGGAACTTGGTCTCAATTTAGTCACGAGGATAATTTAAATTTGACGACTAAAATGTAATGTGTAATTTTGTTTTTATTATAATTACTGTATTTAATGGCATTTTAATACAGTCTAAGTTTGTTGATAATTATTAAGGGGCAACATGGACCAGAACAAGTATTACATCATGCCCATATATTACTGCAGTGGTTTCCAATGTGGGGGGCACGGCCCCCACTTTGGGGCACACATTTATTTCAGACAGACGAGGCTGGTCAAATCCTTTTTTTGTGTGTGTCAGAATTAGCTTTATTATCATCTCTCTTTGTCCCGCCTGTTGAGCAAAATATTGAACTCTGATTGGCTTTAGTCCTCATTCATCAAACTCAGACTTTTTATTAGGCGACTGAAGCGACAATACATTTAGCCAAACTAACTTCCCACGACATTAACACTGTTGTACTCGCCTGAAACACAAATAATGAGAATAACAAAGAGAAAACACTGTACCTGCTCTGCTCCAGCAAAAGCATGGTAAAAGCAGGACACGTAGGTCATGATGGCTCGTTCATCAGGCTTGGGGGTATTGATGATATCTGTGGCATTGACAGGGAGGAAAGGTCAAAGGTTAAAGGAAGGGAGGCAGAGAGGATGATGATGATGAACGCAGGACATTCTGTTTGTTTTATGTTTGCTCTGGTTAAGCTGTAACATCTGAATGACTTATGATCTGTTGACATTGGTGACCAGACTGTTACTACCACAGGGCCAGAAGATCCTTCACTTTGTCCTCTTTACTCTCTCTGAAGTCAACTGGAAATGTCCACACAGAACCTGAGAAGGTCAGAAAACCCCAAAGCCACTTCTATTTTATAAATCATTACCTTCTGCGTCCAGCATTTTGGGAATGTCCAGGTGTTTCTCAGCTATGTCAAAAGCCAGGTTCAGGTTCCCCATGGGATCATCCTAAATAAAGACACACAATTCTACATTAGGGAGCAGCAATGCTGGACTTAAAATGCCACCGTGCTGACCTTCACGCTATGGTGGGCGCACAATTCTGCCTGACCGTCCAGGATACATGCATGTTCATTTAAAATAACTTTTTCTTTTTGAAAACCTTACAATCCAGACTACTGAATCTGATGTGTTTGAGATTGTTATTTTATGAATTATTTCAGCATCAATAAAGAGAATCAACTAATAAACCAGTCATTACTAACCTGTGTATATATGTATAGGATCTATTTAATGGGTTGTATTTTTCTTCTCCCAAGTGACAGTGACAAAAGAGACGATAAATCAAAGGGAGGGAGAGGCACGTTAAGCTAACAGCTGAGAGTGAAGCCTGTCCTGTTGAAGGAAGAGTCAGTGAAAGTGCAGTGGGGTAAAAGTGGATCATGCTTACATGCTGCCGCTATTGTCCCTAGCTCTGCATCACTGTTCCATAAGTGTGTGTGTGTGTGTGTGTGTGGGGGGGGTTGAAGACTGGCACAATACATGACAGCACCAGCTGCTCTCAGATCCAGCACACGACAAATAGACAGATAGATGGATGTGGTGGCTAGCAGTGGGATGGAAGGGTGGATACAAAGAAAAGGATGAGGGATACCCCGGGGCTTTTGTGTGTATGGGCCCCCGACCAGGTCTGGCTCATGGGTCTTCATCACTGTAGGCTTTACTAACACGTTCACCTGGAGCCAGACAGAACAGCTGACTGGCAGCCGTGCCCGTCTCCTGGTGGCAGGAGCCAAACTCAGGTGTGACTGACAGAGTGAATATGTGTCAGGGAGATGGAGAAGACGCAGCGGAGGCCCGGGCTCATCACTTCATATTTATAATGGATATAGTCTTTTCTGTGCTGGTAAATCCACACCGCCTCTGTGCCAGAGGTGGATATTTTTCAATTAAGAAACGTCACCGTGACCACATCACAGACATCTCCGCAGACTGACAGCTACGTGACAGTGCAGACAATAGCGGAGGGAAAAAAGAAAAACTAAGCCCAAGGCTCTGCAGGGACTAGGCTCATGTTTCTGTGACTATTCTGGGTCCGCTCCATGAACGCTGTGTGCTAAAAAGTGTCCAGTTCTGTTTCCACAACAAATGAAAATGTCACTCTCTCCGGCCAGCAGTCCAACAGGAGACCAAGGTCTCCCATATTTCCCCGGGTTTCAGAGCAGCGCCCTCTACAGGAGAATTACTTTTTTGTTTTGTTTTGTTTGTTTTCACTGCAAACACACACTGATGAGCTGTCAGTTAGTCCGACTGCCTCTGCATGTAAACAAACCGCTAAATGAGCCTCTAAGTTGTTTACAGACAAAAACTGAGTGCACTGAGTGGACGTTAAATCCATAAATCCATTAAATTAAACCTTGGATCTGGTGCTTTTTTTGAAAACCCTGATGTGGATGACAATTCTGGCTGTTGGAGGTGAAATAAACAGAAAAATGTACAATAATATCATTTAAAGGATGACAAGCTACAGTTTTTGAACATTTATCTATACATGTGGAACTATTAAACACCGTGTTGTGTTGTGATGCAGGGTTCTATCTATACATGTGGAACTATTAAACACTGTGTTGTGTTGTGATGTGATGCAGGGTGAAGGGAAATGGACTCACAACCTCAAAACAGATGTTTCCATGCTGATCACACGTGAAGTGTTTTAGTTAAGATCACAGTGAGCAGTGAAGCATAAAGTGATACTAGGTGAACACACTCACAAAAGTAAACAATCTGCTGTGAACTTTAAATAGGGATTTATTCATTAACCAGAGATAAACCTGGAAGCTCAGTCCTGAATGATTTACTGAAAAAGTTTAGCTGATTGGTCATATGGATGTACAGCATGAGGACGGGAAGACTGGGGACCAGAAGGTCACCTATAGGTCATCTAATAACCAGATGGTCAGGGGGTTGATTTCAGGTTTTAAAGGTCTGAGGTTGAGGTCTTAAGTCACTGCTGTTGCTAGACAGGCAGCAACTATTTCAGCCAATGAGCAGCTGATCATGTGACCCATGAACTAAAATGCTTTTTTTTCCTTTAAATTTGATTTGTTTTCCTCTCTGTTCTTTTTAAATCTTTGTTATTTCTAGGTAAATTTTTATGTGGCTAACCAGTTTTTTTACCTAATAACCTCTGTGAAATCTGTGTGTTTTTACTGAAACACACCTTGATGCTGCACCTAACATCCTACTGACATTAAATGTGGTTCAGTGTGAGATCATGACCAAGTGTTAATTAGGTGGAAACCACTCTGTTAGTTAGGGGCTGAGACACAGCATCCTGGTTACAGGGGAACCACACGACACCTTGTTGAGCTTAGAGTAGTCGAGGAGGTCGGGTCTGTGTCTATGAATCAGGGCGCAGAAGGCCAGGCCGTCCTTCCAGCTACAGCGGCCCCGGAGCAGAGAGAACCAACAGTTTCAGTCAGTTTGGACTTGGCTCAAAGAACAAATGTGCTGGAAACCAGAGCCTGATGCACATTAGCTGCAGAAACTCCAGTCTGCTGCTACTGCACTCAGGGCTTCATACTGTGTAGTTATTTTTTAAGGAACATAATAACTTTGTACTACTGTGGTCCCTCTCTATATCGAAGTTCTCATTTCGCTGCCTCAGTACATTGTGGATTTTTTTAAAATCTGATTTTGCAAAATATAGCAAAAAAAAAGACATTATAAAATAATTATACATACAAAGGTTTTGGCTTCAAAAATGTGGACTCTCGTTGTGAAATTGAGATAAGCGCATTTGCGATGGATCTCTGGTAGCTTTGTTTACCTAGATAAGAGCGATAGGAGAGGGACCACTGTATTTTGTAATGCTAGGTTAAAACAAATAACAATAGCTAACGCATTAAGATTTGATTGTATTTTCTGCGCTGAGTTTGTCATCAAACAGGAATGAGAATTCACTGGTCACCTGACATGGAAGTTCTGGACATTGACATTCCTGTAGGGGGCAGTCTTTCTCTGACACCACAGTAGCAGACCTTCTTTGGCAGATGTTTCTAAAAAGAGTTATTTTATAAAAACATTTTATTTTTCAAACAATTATGGTAGCAGACCTTCTTTGGCAGATGTTTCTGAAAAGAGTTATTTTATACAAACATTTTTCAAACAATTATGTTTTTTTGTGTTGTGTATTTGTCACCTACATATATTTGTTTATATTTACAGTTATATTTATGTTTATCTCACCTTCTACAGAAATGTCCTGAATGGCAAAGCGGAGGATGATGGTCCAGATCATCCCCAGAGTCATCTTCACATTACCATCCACAATCTCTGAAAATAATATTGTCAAGTTTACACAAATGATAATTATAACTCTGCTGATGCTGCACAAATTGAAACACTTTTGTACCTTCAGCTCCAATGGAAACCAGTTTCACTCCTTTGCTTGTGATGAAGTCCAAGGCTTTGTTGACATTTGCAATCTTATGAAACCTCATCTTCCCTCTGTCGGGCTTTGCTAACCGCTCTCCTGCAAATGCAATTATTATTGTGCGATAGCCTCATATGTAGATAACCATTTCAGCTTGAAATTTCACCAAAGATATGGTGAATAAATTTAAATGAAACTAAAGTTTGCACATTATCTTGTTGGGGTGGTACCACATTGAATGAATGGTTGGAGTTAGTGTGCTGACCTGAGATGACCTCCAGGAGCAGCATGAGTTTGAGTCCGTTCCTGAAGTCTTCCTCGATGTTTTCAATTTGAGTGCCAGCTTTCCTCAGGTGGGAGTTACACCAGGCTGTGAAGGTCTAACACAGGGACACAAAAGCACAGGCGTCCATGAAAAGTGCAGGTAGAGCACAGAAGCTCTGCTAATGCAGCGTAATCCATTATGTATGCTCCTTCAAGCAGGTCCAACTCTGTGGTTAATGTGAAATCGTGTAAACATCACAGGGATTGCTCTGCAGCAGATCTGAAGGCACTGAGTCAGCTAAAAGCCCGGCCGCTGGAGAAGCACAAATCGATCTTAACCTCTGCGACCAGAGCCTTTATTTTCAGATTAACCTTCAGCGACCCACTAGAGTCTGATCTACACTGTTTTTGTCCTGCTGTTTTCGCCACTTTGAACAGCCAATGAGACAAATGTGGCCCACGTGTGGTATTGAAATGGTGTAAATCACACTGAGACCTGCTCATTGTCTTTCTCCTACTATTTTTACAAAGTCTTCCCACAGCCAGCAGCCGACTTTACAGGCGCTCAGCAGTTTGAGGATGAAAGCTGGGAGCCGACCGTGGGGCGCATTCCGACTGATATAAGGTGTTAAATTTAGACTGTTCTGCTGGGCCTCATGATAAGAGAGCGGGAGGAGGGAAACGTCAAAATGTCTGGCTGTGTCGACATAAGTGAAAATGTCACATGGACGCAGAGCGACTTCTCTCGCCCTCACGTCAATTTCTGTCACTATTGTGCCACTTTTGACGTGACGGGCTGTGGTAGGAAGGAGATAACTCTATCTCAGAACATGTGTGCTGTTATTTCTCATCACACCTTTTACCGTGTGGAGGTTTGACAAAAGGCAGGGGCGGACAAAGGGCAGGAGCAGGGTGAACATTCCTTATATGTAATAACAGGAATGATAGAGAAATAGCTGGAAAAATGACACAAGCTGTAGACTGTTGTTAAAGCAAAAACCAGTAGTGGACTGTCTGTGGTCATTTAAGGCATGGTCCTCAACCTTCGGTCGACAGGCCAGCACCGGTCCATGTGTAATTAGGTACTGGGCCACAGTGAAATATTTAGTAAATTACTTTATTGAAAAAGAATCTGCTCATTTCAATTCATTTCCTTGATATGAATATATTTGGCAAGTTCTCAAAATAACACGTCTTTCTGACTTTAATACTAACAGAATACAGCCTAAAATATTTCGTTTATTTACGCTGATTTAAGGAAAACAACCATAAATACACACCAGTCTGTAGCCTAGCATGCAAGCCACAGCTTTGTTCCTCTGTAAATATTTATTAAATCAGAGGTCATAGTGTGACGCCCCCAATGCCAAACTGTACTATCAAGAATGTACACAATTCCCAGACACATTATTTTGTCTTAAACTGTAGAGTTGAACTGTGTATGACGTCTGGTCCAGACTACAGCAGTATATTCTTTCCGACTTCTGGTACAGAGCAGAACACCATGTATATTTACACATGTTCATCCCCAACCTTCCCCTCAGTTCTAAAACAGAATATGACCAGCAACATGATAAATCAGGTTCCACACTGAGCACTGAGTCCCCAGGCTCTGGGTGTCATTGAACTGCTGCCCCCCTGATAGATAAAGGGGGGAAAATGTGTCCTGCTCCTGCTCCAAATTTCTCTCCACCACAATTGTCGACCCATGCTGCCCACTTTCCAACCCTCCACCGCACCCGTCATCTCAATCTCCAACACTACTGAACAGTGACGATAAATCTAAAAATATTTATGAATCACATCCAGCAAGGACCAGCCCTGTCACTGCCACTGGGGGGCCTCACCGGGTCAGAGGTTTTACTGAAAAAGTGAGAGAATCTAATGTTGGTTGAAATGACAGAGAGCTGTGTGGGTCTGTGATGAACGGCTTTCTCATCCTGTTGAAATTATATTATATCTCATTTAATGCTTATCCACAACACTTTGACTTGGTGGAGCTGAGTTTCCATGTGAAGCAAACACAGCTTAGGATTGGCCCCAAGTTTGAATGCATGATCCCCCCAAGTGTAACAGTTACAGGGATCAGTCCTGAAGGCTTCATCAACCCCGTCTGACTCCGATGATAGATTTATAAAGGTCCACATATGCTGTTATTTCAATGGACGGTGAAGGAAAGCTGTGCAGCTGCTGGTAGGATTTTGAACTGAGCCTGTGCAGCATCGTGGCTGGAGATGGACAAATGATTTATGGGTAAAGAGAAAGGAGGGCATGAATCTAGACAAGAGGGAGAGGTTTTTTGATTTTTGTGATGACTGAATAGGTAAAAGATTTTAATAACTAAATCTTGTTAAAAAGATATTAGGCACCTCCAGCATCTTCATGAACATGTTAAGAGCAATAGTTTTTCTTTGTTTTAACTCTATGTGATAATTTTTCCCCCTGAACTGGACGAAGAGGAAGTTGATCTTAGTCCTTAGACAAGAGAAAGACATTCTCTTGTCTAGAGATATAAAAAAAGAAAGAGATAAAAGAAAAAAGAAAGAGATATAAAAAAAAGCACCAAACTTGCTCTGTGGAGTCATCACTGATATATTTTATCACTAATGATCCTTTTAAACAGCTGCTCGTGGAACCAAAACACTCCACACTCACTTGTCGACTTTAAATAACAATCAGTTAAAGATAAACATTGATAATAGCTGTGCATAAAAATACACGGTTTGGTGATCCGTGGAGAGACATCGATGGGGTAATGGGCCAGAGCTGAGGGGCTGCAGTTTTGTTAGAAAGCTACAACTGAAGGTCCAGCCATAACAGACGAGTGACGGTGTGGGAGGCCGCGGCTCTGTGGCGTGCAGCTGGTCCTGCTACAATATTTCTGTGTGGTTTCTATAAACAAAAGAATTCCACACCAAGGACACTGGATTAACCTCACTCTAATGCCTTTAGGTCCCGGGGTTAAAATTAGGTGCAGCGTCCATTCTAATCCCAAGAGCGTCATCATGTGTTAGGAGCATCTGTTGACAGCTCACATTCCGCGCGTATCAGGCGCAATAGCAGCAGCAACAGCAACAGCAGCAGCAGCACAGAGCCCAGGGTTGAGCCGCTGGAAGAAGTTGCTATTGTTAGCTGCCTGGTACCCAATCGCATCCGCCAGTCAACCTCCTGCCCTCGACCACAGCCTACACACGTCAGGTCTGCGGTATCCAGCACACCGGAAGTCTTGGTGACGACGGTCAAAAACCACAATACTAAAACAAGACGTGTCGATTTTGCCTGGCTTGACCATGAACAGTAGAGTATAAGAAATGGCTAATCAACTTTTAAAGTCTCAGGATTTGTTACTTGAAGAATAAATATTTGATTTGTCAGTAAGAGCAAGACTGAGTGGCGTCTCCAAAAAATGTTCCCCTGTAAATCTTCAGAACTGTAATACATCTTCACATAAGTATGAAACTCCCCTAAAAAATCTTATAAAAGTTTAAAAATGACAATAATTGCCGTGTACGTTTCCAACAGTTCAACAACACCATTAATTTCAAAATGGTGTGATTTAAAATGGTTAAATTCTCAGCCAAATGGTAACAGCAGTACAGCCTAGTTCAATAGTGTGACGTGTGGAGGAGCCAGGTCACTGTGAATATGACATATAAAATGACTGTGGAACCAAACCAAATTTGTTACCCGAGTAATGAAAAATGGGGGGAATAATGGAGCATTTCATTTTCACTGATAGAAGATATTTCACAAGCAATTCCCAGGAAGTGGCAATACGAACACCTTCATTGGTTGGGATTCAAATCCAAGATGGCTACTCATTTTATCAGCAGCAAGAAGAAACTTGGATTTTCTTGACTTTTGTAACAGTAAAGGAAAATACAGAGACATCGTGTCACTTTTGTTAGTCAATCTACACATCTCAGCTGGCTAAATGTTTTCAAAAACTTCGTTGCATTTTGAAAATTGTTAACCGGAAGTTTAATCTTGAGCCGTTAGTCCTATAACTATACGACGTACAGTTTAAAATTTAAAAGTTTAAAATTAAAAGTTTAAATAATTTTAACCATTTATATTAAATCAGAGCGCTTATTTGTTGATATTACTGAGTTACTTTCGACCAATTTTAATGTCATTAAAGTCTTTAGATAGACTTACTTTCCTCTGCTGCTGCTCCCAGGCTGGGTCCAGTAGCATGTCCCTGTCCCACTCATCCTCCTGCAACATGTACTCATCCTCGTAGCCATTGTCATAGTGGATCGTGGTCTCCACCTGGGTCATCGTCATCATCTTTGCGCCGTTTACTTTCTGTTCCACCCGAATAAACTCAAAAATCGCGTCTTATCCCTTCAGTGTACTGTAAAAGAAGTTGATGGTGCGTTCACTGCCACTTCTCCTCTTTGACTCGCTGCTCGTCACACACTCACACACACTTGCCCTTGTCCTCCTGACCTGACAGACAGTCTGGCCCTGGTTGCCACAGATGAACAAGCGACTGTCATTAGTACTGTACAGTCACGTGAGGTCCTCGGTACCTTCCCCCAAAATTCCCCTACCATCACCCTGCCAACCCAGCCACCCACTCAAGCCACACAAACGACAGCACAACAGCAGTTTTATCTTGAAATCAACAGTACAGTTTTATTATTGAATAATAAAAAAAAATCGCAGACTTTCATTTAAAAATAAACACAATAACAGTTTGGGGCATATAAATAAAAAAAGACCTCTTCCTTGAAAAACCAATGTATATTGTCTCAATGAAAGGCACTGGTCACCACAGACACTGTCACAAAACAGAAATAATCTCTTTTCAAGCAAAAAAACTGAAAACACCGGACCAAACGGGAAAAACTCAGGTCTAAGTAACGTGGCACCATAGTGTAGGCAGCATACAATGATGGTCAAATCATTAGGTACGTTTGTTCAATTTGGCTTCAATGAAAATAAAAGAAGAAGAAGAAAATCAGCCACTAATGTGGCATAAATGTAATACCTAGGTATGTACGATGGTGGAGACCAATTTGGACCCACCTCACGTTAGCAAAAGGTACCTAATGAAGTGGCCACTATTTGTACAAACCTCACGTTACAAACATTCACAATAGTGTTTTATTTAAAATGAAAGAAAAAAAATACCCTGGTCGATATGAGTAAGCAAAATACCCAAAATGCAATACTGTGATGTAAATGTATGAGGAGAATCAGATTTTAGTTTTTATTATTATTATCTGACGTCCTGTTTTAGCACTGACTTTAGTGTTAAAAGTTTGAAGTGTAACTAGAGTAGTTGCTTGTGCATTAGTCTTCTGTATATTTCTTTCTGAAATACAATAGTGAGAGAAGATTTTCACTGCCTCAAAATATCAGATCCAAGAGTCTCGTATGAAGAAAGAAAATAAGAAAAAGAAAAAGAATATGACAAATCAGACAGGCCTGCATGTAAAAAAATGTAAACTGTCCCTTTAAGGATTAAAATGGCATAGTGGAGGCTGGTCCTGACAGACACTACCTCACCACAGAGCAAGAGTTCAAACAGAGTGCAAAGGAGAAGAACCTGGGAGTGAAAAGGACAGAGAAGAGTTTGGTTTTTTTTTTTTGTCAAACCATCAAACAACCTGAAGAACATGTCATCTGTCACAGCGAGGCGTCTAATGGTTTGCAGTGGAACTGCTGGAACACACAGGACTCTTTCAGTAAAGTCGGAGTTAGCCGTTTGGACGCCATGTTTCCACATGTATCATCTGCCATCTGCAGCAGTGTTCTCTGGTGCCCAAGGAAGGGGCGGTGGAGGAGGAGGTGGAGGTGGAGGTGGTGGAGGAGTGGGGGAAGTGAAGAGGAGTTCACTCTCTCTATCATTCAGTTTCATTAAGGCCACAAGGTCTTCGCCACTCCTGACCCCGTTCGTGGATCCATTTGTTTGATACTAAAAACAAAAACACAGTGCAAATGATTGGCTGAAAGAGACTTCTGTAGAGAATCAACTCTCAGCTCCAGCCCACAGTCTCACTGGAGACGTTTGTTCAGCTCCACAAAAATGTTTCATCAACAAGCAGTGGAAAAACTCACCCCACTTATTGCCCACTAACACGGGACAAGCTGCGTGTCGAGTGCTGTAGTCGCCCTCCCCGCTGGCAAACAAATTATACCAGAACACTGCAGTGCCCTGGAACACACACATACACACATCAGATGAGGTTAGCCATAGAGTAAAGCATCTAAGATGAAGGTATAAATCTTACAGACTCTGCCTCACTGTCATAACTTAGAATTAACCTGATGTTAAATACCAGAACAGACAAATAGTTCAAGGCTGACTTTTCCTGGGCTTCAATCTCATTTAAACAAGTTCTGACAGGGTTTGACTGATGCTCAGACAACCAGACAGATAAATAGACAGAAACCAAGCCCTCCTGCTGAAGTTAACAAATGAGTCAGTAATACGTGGATATTTGAAGGTGGTTCAGCCTGGAGGGTTGGTTACCTTTTTGGGCCAAACTGCTGCACCAACATCTGGGAAAACTGTGGCTCCACCTGCTGCAACGTCGCTCATCTACAACAGATACAGAGGCAAAACTTACTCACCATACTTTTTTGGGTTTTTTTTTTTACAGTCAAATGTTACACAACATCCACAAGATGGCTTTATTTGATATTGTACAATGAAAATGAATGTGAATCAAAGACAGTTTAAGTAACTTTGAGTCTTGGATTATTACATAAAAGAAACCTTTAAAATTTAAATACATTGATTTAAAATAGAAAAATTTAAATGTGTTCTTTAATCCATTAAATAAATATACAAAATTATTTTAATTAGTCACATTAATTGTCTTAATTTATCATGTGCACTCACATAGAAAAGCCACGTTGCTATGCGGTTCCCAGTGCCCAGTTCTTTAAAGGCATCTGGTTCATCTTTCTGTGAAGTAAGAACAGTTTCAGACTTAATTAACTCAACACAGGGATACAGAGGGATTACACTGTGATAATCAGACAAGGTCTTACCCTTCCAAAGTCAAAGTGAGGTTCATACTGACCACCAACACCATAGTTGGCAACCTACAGAGATTGACATACGTTAACTACAAAAATTAGTATTGCAGCAATGCATTTTTACCAAACAGCAGAATTTTAGCTTCAACTTAGAGCTTTGTTGACTTTGGGTTTTGTTTAGCTTTAAAATCAATAACATTACAAATACATTTTACTGTCCCTAAGCTTTAGCTAATAAATGCATGTATTACCTGCAGCTCTTCTGCAGTGTCAATTTCCAGTCCCGTGAGAGCTTCAATCCTCTCATTGATCGTGTCAATCATGGGGTCATCGTAGCCAGTGAGCCAAGCACTGGAATAAACAGAGAGAAATCAGCACAGGCAGAGTAAATGAGGTTGGCGTTGTAGTCCAATGGGTGCACATACAGTACTTGTCCACTAGATGGAGTTAAATGGTTCTTCTAAAGCAAGCAACAGACGTCATGCTTAAAACTTTTTACACGACGAGCACAGAAGGGAACATGCTTTGCAAACAGACGGCACAATGAAAAAAAAAGTTAAGAAATATTTCACAGGGAAAATCCCCAAGAAGATTCTCCAATCAGCTCAGGGAACAGGATACTGGACAGGATCCACTCACCTCGCTTTCGCTTAAACACAGAAATTATGTCTTTCTCTTCTGGTTTTCCTCCCCTACACCCTACTCTCATCATTCTATTGTCATCTGCACAAACTGGTAAATATGTGAAAACTGTACACACTCAGTTAGCTAATTTTCTGACCCTACCAGTCTGTCAAACTATGAAACATATATTGTTGACACATTTTCTGACAGAGGTAGAACAAAGTTCAGTTTTTTTTAATTTTCTGACCCTACCAGTCTGTCAAAGTTCAGTTTTTGAAAAGTCTCTCAACCTGAAGGGCTTTTCAAATTGAACAAGCACACAAGACAGTTCCTGACTTCAATCTCGTCTTAGCAGCATTTCAAGAAAGACTCTGAAAGATGACTCATCTTTTTTTATACTCAATTCAAATCGTGCATGTTTTTCTTGCTGCATAAAGCTTAGAAAACAGTACATTTGTTCAGTCTGGGACTAGTAAAAGTTTATCCCTGTGGTAAACTGTTAAACCCATCATTCCATGCTCACTAAAACAGACGTAACATGCTGGTCAGCACGTACACAGAGAGGACATCAAAGCAACACCACACCCTCTCACCCACACACTCCCAACACATTTATTAGCAGGAGCAGTAAAACCAAAGAAGCTCTGGGGTTTAGGGTGGGCTGCCTGAACAGCTATTTTTAGTCTGAGCACCAAGTCAAGTCAAGTCAAGTAAAGATGAGCAGGTTTGACTACATTTGAGGTGCAGTGTAGCCTACACCTGGGTCTGGGTGTGTGAGTAGCTGTGTGCAGACAGGCTGTTTTTATGCTGATATGGAAGTTGGAGATGCACATTAGAACCACAGCAGCATTGTGAGAATTTACAAATCAGGACAAGTTTCTCAAAACAGTTACTTCTGGTCTGAAACTTGTGAGATGCAGTGTTGAGGAGGCACCTTAACCATGGCACAGGGATAAGAGTGAAGCCGATGCACAGAAAGGGAAGGGGTGGGGTATTGAGACCCTCCCGGTGACCTGTTCCCCTTACCTCTTGGAGACTCTGTACTGAGCTGTAGTGAGTTGCCCAGTTTGGGGGTCATGCACCGTGGCTCGCCTTAACTACATGTAGTTCCAGCAGCACAAGGACACAGGAGGAAATGAGGGTGAAAAGTAGGAGGAAGGAGAACGGACGATGGCACGGTGTTTCACACAGGTGGAGGAGAGATAGAGAGAGAGAACAGAGGCAGATCTGGTCACTAGGTGTCATTGGAATTATTCAAAAAGGCCAAAGACCTCTAATTATACAATTAGTTTAAGCGGAGAAATCATCATGTAGAATCGTCAGGCTTTCTTCCATCCTGGTGCTATCTCACCAAAGGAACTATATTAGTGTCAACCAGAGAGGGGAAAAGGAACACATTCCTCCTCCGCTCTCTGTTACATGTCTGAGAAGGACTGACGAGCAGTAACATGTGCTCAAAAACAACTGCAAAATCCAAACAATCCAATTCCAAAGAAATACATTGATTTTTTGGTGTCATTTCTGGTACTGTATTTTCTGGACTATACGTCAAACCGCATCTTTCAAAACATATTTCATAGAAGTCATAATGAACAATCACATTGATTTGGATTTTCATAATGAACAATCACATTGATTTGGAATTTTTTAATAGAAATTCAAGAGAGCCTAATAATTTATACGACTACAGAACACTGGCCAAATACATTAACACAACAGGCTACTAAGCTCCCACTCAGCATCACTGAATTCACTGAACCAGAGACGACGTTCAGTTGTCACGAGAGTAGACAGTGCCCTCTTGTGGCCATAAATATGGGTATATAGAGAGCGGTTGATAATCACCCGAGTGTGCAAGGATTATGAGATGTGCCTTGGAAGAATTATACAATTTCACTCAATTCAGAAGTCAGAACTTTTTTTTTTGTATTTGCTGGACATAATTTCCCCATGTGACAGCGACTGCCGGTACAGTGACTACTATTCTACTACATAGATAGTACCAGAGGGCTATAAAACAATTGTGATGAAGATCATTGTATTTCATTACATGTACTGTACTTTGTGATATTTTTGTTCTGGGATTTTTGAAATGTAAATAATGTGCCATGACTCAAAAAAGGCCAGCAAACACTGGAACACTGTATTATTTAAATATTTAGATATTGTATATTTTAATATTCATTAAGTCACTTTGGAGTATACTGACCAGTGAAACTACAACAAAAGCCTGATTTTTAGTCCAGAAATACATAGATTTTAATGTCCTGACTAATGGACAAATGTTAACGTGAAGTAAAAACAACATTTAAAAATAATTTCTGATCCTTCTCAGAAGGATCTTGTGCTTCAGCTAAAGAGCCTGGCAGGTTTGCAAAGGGACAGAGATGGGTTACAGACAAACAAGACCACAGAGGAGAAATGGAATTCACAGGGGGGAAAAGAAGGAGAGACCCTCTCTCCCCCCTTTCAGCTCACTTCTCAGTTCACAGATGGCTCCTGGCTCTGCCTTACCTTTTGCTGATGCGGTAAGGCGCTGTCTCCAGCACTCCTGTGATGGGGTTGGAGATGGTGGCCCTGCGCAGCTGTGAAGCCATGAACATGATTTACACACACAGAGACACACGCAAGAGATGTGTGTGCGTGTGTGTGTGTGTTCTTTTTAAACTCGTACCATCAACTAGCTTCACAGCTTTGACCTCCCTCTCACCTTCATTACTTTTATCTTTAAACATTTAAAACATGTCAAACAGACATCATTTTTTCGCTGTGATTTGGCATGACTTACTCGTGGTTTGGCCAGCTCCTTAACCTTCGCCATTTCTTTTTCGGAAATAACATCAAGGTAGCGGACAATGTACGGCCGATCCCACTCGTCTTGCTGTTTTGCAGGCGAAAGCAAATAGTGGGGGTTGCGGTTGCTGTCATAGTAGCGGCAGAAAAGTCGACTCTGCCTTCGAGTCGTCTGATTGGAGGAAATATACAGCGGGAAATAAAATGTCAACCAAACAAAGCTTCATTTTTGGTGAAATGGCGTTTGGTAGTGTTTGGCTTCCTTACCATTCGGATTCCTTCGCCACGACAAAGCATCTCATACTTCTTCCTCTCTGGAATCAAACTAAAGGCAGGCTTTTTAGGTTTGCTCTTTTTTTCTGTTGTTTCTCTCTTCTTTTGCACCTTCTCCTTTTGGGATTCTTCCTCTGCAGCCTTTCTCTGTTTCTCCAACTGGAACTCAAAGTACTTCAAGTTGCCACTGGCGCGCTGGTGCTCTGGATCTGTTCAGCCAATGTAGTAATAACACAAAATTATATAAAACAATATTAAGATAAATACTCAGATAAGATGACAACGTTTGTTGTAGTCTGATGACACTCACCCAGTTCCAGCAGCCTCTTGGTGTGTTTTAAGGCACGCTCTATCTCCCCCTGCTGGTAGATAGCATAGCTCAGATAGTCGAGCACTATCACTTTATCCAAGGTGGACTCTTCTCCTTCATCCAGCTGCCTCAGGGCCTGTGCCATCCACAGCTCTGTGTGGTAGTAGTCTGCTTCAGAATAGGCGATTTTCCCCAGTTCATAGCAGTCTTCTACCGTCATCTTGGTCTTGTGTGTCACTCCTGATATGTAGGAAACATAAAATGTGAAGTCATCATTTGACAATGTAGAACTGGGTCATTTTTAACGGAGAACAGAGAACACAGAAAATACTAATAGTTCTAATATGACCTGCTCTTTTATGACTGTTAATGTGTGTTAAGAGTAATTACCTGGTAGGTCCCCTACAGAGATGGTGTTGGCGTCCAGTCTGTACGTGTCCTGTAATCTGAGCAGGGCTTTGGCGGCGCCAGTCTGGTCCTCGTCTGTGGGGAAGTACTTCCTCTGGATGGTCAGGTTGGAAATAAAACCTAGGAGAACAAGAAGACAAACCCCGGAGTTAATTAAAATCATCAGGTGGAAAATATATCCTTTCATCATTCTAGAGACAAAAAATGACAAGAAGAAAGAAGAAATCATGATATGTTCCTGGTGGTTTTAAGAGGATCACTTAAAAGACTATTTTGTGACCTTGCTGTGAGGCAGCGGTGTTAACCTCCACTCTAAATTGTGGCCCTACTATCAAGTTCAATTTTTTAACTTAGTATTCTTCTCACATACCGTCGGTCGTGTCGCTGAGTACTAGACTCTCCAGGTCACTCCACTCTCTGTTGAGTCTCTTCATCAGTTTGAAGGCGTTCACAGGGTGACCCAGGAAGCCCTCAGGGTCCTGAGTGGCTGCGGCCGTCAGTGAGTCCAACTTATCGGCCCACCTAAGAACAGAGTGGGTGATGTGAGATTATCTGCTGTGTGTGCCCTGATCTAAATCTGCAGCATCAGGTGATCAAAAGGTTGAGGGGGAAATTACTAGTATTTACATGTCACTGTCACCATCACTCACTGTTTAACCTGCTCCAGCTTGTTCTCCTCGGCCTTGATGTAGTCCTTCAGGGACGTGACAAGGTCTTTCTCTGTGTATATGAGATCCGTCATTTGACCTGTGGAACCAGGAGCACTGCATCAGTACACATTTCACAGAGAAACCACCAAACAGATCATGATTTACTATCATTATTTGAATGGGGAACATGTACGTTGTATTGAGTCCTTACCTATGGAGGTGTAGAAGTCATTGTTGGCAGAGAGCAACTGCACGTAGCTCAGCAACAGGACTGACCAACAAAACAGCTCCATTCTGAAAAACAAAAAAGTAAAGGAACAGATGCAGCTAAATTCTGAAAATTGTCGCACTAAAGAACACAGATGGTAATTTTAGCCATCTGCTAAGTCACAAACTGCTTCTTAGTGCCATAATTGAAGACTACAGAAGCCACAGACTTGCTATGAACTTGCTAAATTTCCCTTTTTCCTCTTTTTTGACAGACAACAGTTTCCAGGACAAACATTGTGTTGGTAGTTAACTAAAATAATTCTTACAGAAACTGGGACCTTATTTCTGGAAGGTATTAAATAAAAAGAGAACAAAATCTGCAGCAACCATCAGGAGAATGGAACAATTCTTTTGCACAGTGGCTTTAAGAACAGAGTAATCTGACAGGGAACACAGAGGCAGAGAAAACAATATATATTGTGGGTCAACAAATATGAAAAAAACCCTGTGTAGTCTCTCTATATATACACACATGATGACAATGTTTACTGACTTAAAGTAAATGTAGTGTGAAGCTTTGTAATTCACAACGCAATAACAGTATGGATTTGCTGAGGCCCCCTAGCGGCCGACCAACGAAAGTGCTATTTGTTGGCAACACCTCTCAAACCTGGATATTGTTTTGGGCTGAGTTGAAAACATATAGATAATAATACGAATAAATTATCATTCCCAGAAATTATATGTCTGGCATTAGATTGTCTTTAATGTTAAAAAATGCACTGTGCATTTTCAAAAACTTTGAGGGGATGTTTGAACAAAGAACAAAGGGGTCAAAGCTGTTTTTGGTCATTCAGTAAAGAGCTCTGTGTGTTTACATGGGTATAGTAGTTAATATAAAACAGGAGTACAAACACAAAGGTATTAGGTCTTTTCTGTTGTCTTTCTTGTCCAATATAAAACATTGCCTTAATAGAAACAAGAAACTCATCTAAACACAAACATGTGTCTCACTGTGTGGTCAATTTAGATTAAAAGCAGACGATGTTTAGACAGGACCTTAGGTCAACCCCTAGTGTTTGATTAAAAAAAACATCTGCCAAAGCTTGTATAGTTTATTTAAAGAGTCAATGAATCTTAGTTTTATATTTATTGATTTATAAAGTATTATTTGTCCATTCAACATGGAATCAGGTCAAGATCAGGTCAAACATGAGAGATAGTAAATTGTTTTCGTGTTTGTATGTGAGCTGTGAAAATCCCACATTCCCTGGTATATGCAGATGACATTTAACCCACCTGACAGACTCAAAGCAACTTGTTTGGACACAACACAGTAATCTTAAAATTAATCTGCCTGTACTTAAACCAGAACTGGGCAGTATTTTGTTGAAACATGTTTTAGTAGGAGTCAGAAATGAGACAGCATTGAAAAGCTTTCAATCCACGTCGTACCTTGAGATTTAAGGGTTAAGGTTTAAAGTTGGACTTTACTGATCCTGCTCTAGGGGAATTGTTTCGTTGCAGCAGCACTGCCGACAGAGGCTAAGACTGTACTAAGACTGTACTGTAGCATATGAAAGAAAAAGTAGGCTACATTTTATACCATGTCAAATATTATTTGACTAAATCTGTGGAACATTTTATACATCATCTTATAGAGACCCAGCTCCATTACTACAAATCAGTGATAACTGCCACAGACTGACAACGCACTTGTGTTTGGAGACACGGCTTTATGGCACCAGAGGTTCACATAAAACCGACTAATTATACGCACTATAAAATGTCACGGTGCCACTCAACCCATCACTTTAATTTACTCCATGCATAAATTGAACCACATTTAAGAGAGTCGGACAGTTGGGAAAAGAGAGTAGAAATATGACTGAAGCATGGAAGAAAATAAATAGCTGCACTGTATGAAGCAAGCAAACTAAACTTTCTAATGCATAATAAAATCTTAGTTTAAGAGAACTCATCATGTAATATCTGATTGATTGTACCGTTCTTACTTTATCCAAATAATTAACTCAACATTAGGTCCACATATTTATAAAAATAGTGGAAAATGTCAAAATTTAGACAACATTTTAGACAAAATATTTCATAATTTATCTCAATTAAAACACTTTCTAATGGGGATGTAAATGTTTCTGCGTCACAGATAAACCTTCTGAATCGATATGGTAGACAGCATTGGTGGGTTTTTTTTTTTTTACTTTTTCTGCTTCAGTCGTAGTTGTCTGTTCCACCTTCCTCTCTAAGAAGTTGTCTTTAAATCTGTCAGGGAGTGCAGCTATGGAGTCGAGTAACACAGGATGTGGATGGAGGAGGACTGCCACGTCTTCGCCCCTCCCCGCCGGTAAAACTCAAGAGAGAGCAGCTAATGCTGCTCCTCACGGGGAGTCTGACACATATTTTACCTGCAATAACCTGTTAACTACCCCTGAAAAAAACTGCCACACAGCAGAAGAGGTATTTCATCGCCGAAGGGCAGCTAATGTTTGTTTACTATGTACGCAGCTTGGAGAGCTGAACGCTGCTTATTTGTACCCATGTGCCTTGGGTAGAAATGATACGAGTGCGTGTTGCACAATTTCTCTTTTTTTGTTGGTTATTTAGCAGGAAGCTCATTGACAAAGAATACACAAAACAGTAATAATAAACCAGGAATGAGTGAGTGATTACAAGCTAAACATCAACAGCGTAGGTCGTCTGTGTGAGTTTCAGTAACTTAAAATATTTCCAGTGGGAAATACAATATTTTACATGCTCTGAAGGGTTAGATGCTAAAAATAGTTTTTCTTAATATATCAAGAAATGGCGACTGACATTGAAGTACATTCTATGGAATTAACTCGAATTCATGGCTGAGTCGCGTCCCACGCTGCGCCGCAAAGGAATTCCTCAACATTTACACCCGTTACGTAGGCAACTAAGTTGAGCTTCTTTTCCCAACTTTGTGCCAACTCTTAACTCGTTTATGTAGATGTTCCTTTTTATTGTTCATTTAACCTCATATCATTTATAGCAAGTGACAACAATGACGACCCTTGCAAGTTCCCTTTGCGTTTTTACATAGTTTTCACATTGGCTAGCATGCTAGCCAGTTGCCTAGCATTCCGTTCATACTATTAAGCATTAAATGAAAAATTAGATTTTATATAACGACAACAGTTATATTAAATACACAATGACAAAGAAGAGGGCTGCCTAAATGAGCCCTATTGGTACGACATTACTATATTAAAAAATATAGAGTATGTGAGCGATAGTTATTTGTATCATTTGCTACAGAAGTTAATTATTTACCTCACTTAGTGCAGGTGCTGCTTCCAGAGTTGTTGCAAACCAAAACCTCGGATGACAGTCCCTGTGCACCGTTACAGCCACACAGATAACGGGCTGGAGGAGATGAATAGACCGGTGCAGTGATTCTTCCTATCTGACGTGTTCCGGTGCAGTGCTGGCCAGCTGCAGCTAACGCTGCTTTTCTCTCGCTGGATCTGAATGGCTCTGACTGCTACGTGCAGATCCTCACATGCAGTCGAAGCCTCCAGCAGCCACATTTTTGGGGGCAGTCGTTTGTAAATTTCGAAGGGAGGTTTCTGTCGACTGTCTTGAACCAGAGTAAGTCAGCCATTGAAGAATATTTATAGTTTAAGTTTTTTAAAAAAAGGTCGTCACACTTTCTGCCACGTGTTGAATAAGCATTAAACTCACAATGAGTTCAATAACTTCATTTAAGGATTTCATGATTTGAGTTCATTTATTAATAGCACTTACCCAAATGCTGGACAACTCATTTATCCCAAAACACAAAAATGTAATCAGGAGGGAATCCGTGCTGAAAACGGAGGTCACCTCAGGTCATAAAGAATAATAAAAGAATAATAAAAGAACTATTAAGCCACTCATTGCTACGTCTATGATAATTTTATTTTATTTCCTTCTGTCAAAACTTTGCAAAATCGGTTTTGGCCCAAATTATTACTTTCCAGTCTTCTTTCGAAGAAGTCGGTGTCATTTCTTCTGAATCACAACCAAATTTAAGTGTTGGAAGTGTAAGCAGAGATTACAAAAGTTTGAATCCTAGGATTTGTTTCATAGGATCTGTAGGGCTGTTTTTACTGTGTAAATCAAGTGAAAAGATATTTTAAAAATCCCATAATCTTCCATCCACACATTTTATTATAAATGTGTTGCACATCCATGTGCATGTGTTGAGTTTTTTTTTTTCTTGATCTTGGAATTGTAAGCAAATGTCTTCAACATGTGGTCCCTGTCACTGAGGTAGTCTGAGGATGTGCTGCAAAAGACATAGTTTTAAAAGAAAAAAGACGATTTTGAAGGACAGGAAATCAGACAATTTATTTTAAAATAGACTTATACAAACGTGAATGTAGCAATTTCTTAATGACATTATATTGTGCATTGGCGTACATTATCAATTTAATAATGGGGCCAAGGTTGTTGCTGTTATCTGTTTATGCCAGTGATTTGATGAATGTTGGTTAAACTATTAACTGAGATTATGGAACCCTTAAACCTTGACACTAAGGAACCATTGACGTTATCTATAAAAATGTTAACAGCTGGTATTTGTAAGGCACATGACTTTGAGTATTAGGGTCATCCCCTGGTAGAAAAGTGAAGGAAAACTAAATGTCACACAAAACTGTCACGAAAGGAGTTATATCAGTTATCAGGAGTTCATGAAATAACAACATTTTTAAAATTACTGTAATAATTGAGGCGTAAAAAAGGAAAACAACAGGGGCTTCATGGCACCGGTTTTATAAGGGGTTATAGACTATATTCTGGTCAATGTGTGTCTTTTAGAATAAAATATACTTTTTAGATCAGCGTCAATATATTTTACATTTCTCTCAGTGTGACCTGTAAAAAATAATGTACACTTCCACTCATTGTGACCTTTATTCCACTACGTGTCCTATAATCCAGTCATCGACGGATGTCATCCAGGGAGGTTAGTCTTCGTCCAAATAGCTGCTCCTCATAGGTCAACAGCTGTCGCAGGAAGTTCACATTAGGTGCCGTGCATGCCCTTTTCTCCTTCAACCAGCGCACAGCATGAAGTAGAGACCAGCACCTGTGCTGCATGAGGAAAGCCAGTGTTAATGCTGAGCTACGACTCCTGCCCATACTACAATGGACCAGAACTCGGCCAGCTGGGACTGCCCTCAGTGCTGTGTTAATAAACCTGGATGCTAGTGGCAAGGCCTCCACCAGGTCCTGTTGGGAGTCATCACTCAAACGTAGTCGCAGGTAGCACAGCGTGTTGGGGAAAGCGTCAGGACAGTTGGCAGTGGCATTAACCACATGCGTGATCTGTAAATTCTTGATGATGCGGTAGTCAGAGGCCTGGGAGACAGAGCCTTGGTAGAGTGCATTTTCTAGAATCTCTGAGGGGTAGATGGTGAGGGTGTGGCGCTCAGGTTCAATCAGGACCATGCGTGTTGTGCACAGGAAGGGATACAGGGCATTAAAGGCTGAGAACCCCCCCAACATGATGATCGGGTCCATTCCCAGACCACTGAGCTGGAAGAAACAGCGCTGGAGGTCTGGAGAGTCTGCCCTGGCTTTTACACTGCCCACTGAAATATGTACAAAAACATTTACTAAAGAGTTTTCAAAATTAACATAAAAATTTAGCAAATTATGATGGGTCTCTATCTTGGAAAGTTTTAAGTAAATTCAACACAAAGTAAGTTCAACCTTAACAAATTCAATATTATATTTTCTCTCCATTCCATACAAAATGCATTATGCAAGGAACAATGCCTTGTATCGAAGATGCTATAAACTGATTTGTGCCATCAGTATAATGTAATAATAGTAATGTATGATCTTGTGTTGGAACAAATACGCTTATCAATTGAATGTTATTTTTTATCTGTCCTAAGGCTGTGAGACCACTTCAGTAAAGTTCTAAAACAGACATACACAAGAACCTTCTGTACATTTACTGTATGTAACCTGCTGACCTGGGCTGCATCCTTCCTCTGCATACAGCAGTATTATAGAGTACTTCTGCAGCTCAATGCAGCTGATTAGACAGCCCAACTCAGGGTGGATCACTGTTACAGCGGCCCGTGCTGTCACCACATGGCTGTCCTTGTACCTACACACACACAGTACAAACAATCATTCGTGTAATTTAGACATATACTACAAGACTTCCTAAAATAGTATATTTCCTTGAGAAATATAACAAACCTAATGTCCAGAAGTGGACGTTTGGCTACATAACAATAACAAACCTAATGTCCAGAAGTGGACATTTGGCTACATAACATGCTATAATTTTTTTAGGATTTTCTATAGCCTTACTTGTAGCACCCACCTCTCAGCCTTGCGACAGTCCAGGATAAGCATATAGTACGGATCAAATATAGCAGGCTGGCCATCTTCTGCATTAAGCAGATTGTAAATCTGATGTGGAGTGATATAGCCTCGCTCCACAGAGGCTGTTTCTGGAAGTGCAGGAACTAACAGCCCCTCTGGCTCACACACTGTTGGAGAGCACATGAAAATCAGATTGTGGGTAACCTAAGAATACAGCTGATGAGAGGTGTAAAAATACACATTTTACCTTTCGGTATGACAGAGGAATGATCGCTGTCCGTGCTGTTGGCTTCTCTGTCAGAGATGCTGCTCAATGTGTTGACAGGCATTCTGGAAGTCATTTGACATCTGTTATTTACTCTGGTACATAAATTGATAGGCATACACACAAACAGAAAGAAAGAGACACAGAGAAATTAAACCATTCATATAAGGAAGGATAGGCAAAGTGAGAAAAACGGCATAACTCTTTACCTGGATAGTACTACACCCATGTTGTTTAAGTCATTTGGCAGAAACATCAGCTGTTTCCACCAGCCCTTCATTAGAAGAACATACGACACCAAGAAATACACCAATAATGAAGCCTTTGAAAATGTAAAAAAAAAAAAGGGGGGTGAATAAACAAAATGGTATACACTATTTGTAGTTGCTTGCTTCTTGTTTAGTCCTGCTTTAACGTTGCTCCTCAATTTAGCTGGTGGTCTTGGAAACCCACTAAGGGCCAAGTGCTCTATTAAGGACCACATGGTAGCTGGCTGTGACAGGTTTCCACAGAGAAGTCCTACTTCACCAAGATTAACTCCCATTGGTTACAGTGCGAGTTTTGTCAGGACTATTTTAGGTTGGTCTTAATCACAGTTATTTGTATTCGAAATGAAAGAACACCATTATTATTTAAAATATATATAAAACAACACCGCATTTAACATTAAATGATAAATATCGTGAATACATGGAGGAAAATGTACATTATGTATATGTCAGGCTGTAAGTGATTTTAGAGAACAATATCATTTGTTTTTCACAAAACACTTCTGAAATACTAACAGACGATTTGTCGCGTGACGCATATTATATATGCGGACGTCACATCCGCTCTGGGCCTGCCTCGCTTCCTGCCTTGCTGAGGGAGGGGACGGTGCTGACGGCAGGGAGGACGAAAGGCGAAAGAAAGCGTTTTGGAAGATTAAGAGAGAGGGGAACGGCCCTGGTTTCCACCGTTCGTCGGGAAATAAACACCTCGTGTTTCAATAGCTGCTGTATTTGTCACCGAATCGGCGCCGAAAAATGTCGACCAGTCGTCAGCTTAGCGAGAGCAGGGCCATCCCGACCAGGACGGTGTTGATCAACGACACAACGCAGCTACCTCATGACTATTGCACCACCCCTGGAGGCACTTTATTCTCTACCACTCCTGGAGGTAATGCCATTTCATTTTTAATTTTTAACACATTTTGTTAAAAAAAGTGGGAAGACAGCTGTTTGGCTTTTGAATTGAGATTAACGTTTGCTGTCACTGTGGCCTAGCCTGCCTTGTCATCCCGATCAAAACAAAAACAAAGTTAAGCCCCGCCCTCCGTATCAATTCAGCTTTCAATTGGCTGATGTGCAGCGCAGAGATTGTACTGACTGCGTCGCGTCTGTTGTTTTTTGGTAAATGTATTCGTTTGTTTTCACATCGTCGTGAATAGGATTCCCGTGTTAATCCAGGGAAACTCGCCTCGGTTACATATTTGTCATAAATAACTTAATAGAATGTTTATATAATTTAATATGAAGTTTTTCTGACAAAAGCCATAAACAAAGACATGCAGGAAGTACATTAGCAACAATGCATCACTGTACACCGCAGTACTGCATTGTTTTTGAAGCAGCTATGAAATAAAACAGCAATGAGTTGTAAAAGGAAAGAAAGTATTGAAATGAATGGAAAAATAATAGTACGCTGACCTGAAAACAGGGGGCGGGGAGATCCAATAAAAATACAAAAATTAAAGGGATGCTGGCATAATTTTGCACAAGGTTACCTTTTGTCATTGCACATAGTTTATGATAATAATATCAATTTGAGGACACGTGGCTTTAACTTTGCCTTCCCATGTCTTCTTCGTCATTTCTTATCTACAGTCTAATGATTAAATCTGCATATTAATTCTGGTAATTTTATATATGCAATAGAGACATAGTAAAACGTTTGTTTTAACATGTTTTAATTGGTAACCTAGGTTTATATGTAAGAACCATTACAAGGTTCAGTAAAGCCATAAATACTCTATGTGTAACATCACAATCTTTAAAATGAACATACAAACTCAACTCTTTCAGACAGTGAGTATGTAAAGTGGACAGCCCTCACATACAGGAGTGGACTTGATCGGTCACAGGCACAGGTCGTGCTGATGTAACAGTTTCCTGGAACTGAGCCATTGTTAGTGTGACTGGTTGCACCACTGCCTCCCTGTCATGAAAAATGTAAAGGCTGTCTATGGAGAGTGTCAACAAGTCGGATTCATTTGGCATCATTGGACAAATACTTTGCTCGCAACAAACAAATATATTCAAATATATACCTGGACACAAACGCTGTTACCTAAAAGGCAAACAAGACAAGGTTGACCGAAGGAGTCTTGCTGTTACCTAAAAGGCAAACAAGACAACAGAAGGTTGACCGAAGGAGTCTCGACTTTATGGCCTAACTTGTGACTCTAAATCACGCTGCAAAGGTTTCTTGTGACTCTAAATCACGCTGCAAAGGTCTCTCTGTCACATCCACTGTAAATATCAGGAGAACCTTGGCTTCTCCAGGGCCCTTAATACGTGGCTGTTCACATAATGTTTATGCTAACATAACCTAACCAGCTGGGTCTCATGTAATCATTTAACAGTATGTAATAGTAAATGTCTGCTGGATACAGAACAGCAGCTGTTAACTTTTGTCTTGTTTGTATTTAAATATAGGTCCAGCTTTTCATGACATTAAAATTGTGGCTTTATTGATTTGTTATGTTTGGTGCAAATCTTGTCGATTGTTGCAGTTATTTAAACACTCACTTCCTGTGCGGACGCTGCTTGCAATAGGGTTGTCATTCTTTTGACTTGCAACACATACTGTACGACTCACAGTCATATTTCCTAAGAAGGGACCGTGAATAATTGAAAACTCACGTGTCCTGTTGCAGGAACTCGGATCATCTACGACCGAAAGTTTCTCCTGGACAGGCGTAACTCTCCCATAGCCCAGACTCCACCAGCACACCTTCCTGTCATCCCCGGAGTGACCAGCCAAGTCCTTAGTGAGAACCAGAAGAATGAAGCCAACAAACACATCAAAAACCATGATGGCAAGCCCGCAACCGGTAAGACCGAAAAGGCCATTTGGAAGACGTGCAGAGTTTTGACAATGACACAGACAACATTTACAGCATGTGGTAGTTCTGTAGTGTAGCGGTTACTATGCCTGCCTTACACATCTGCCTTACACGCAGTCCTATGTTTAGTCCCGGAGGAACCATATACCTAATGGCAACTCCCGCGTGGCAACCTTTGAGGTGCTTCCATATACTTACAGTAACAGCGCCTCCTGTGGCAGCCTGAAAAGACCCACACTGTGAATATCTCCAGTGTGGGACAAATATGGGACATCAATTTATTTATTTATTTATTTTTCAATTATACAGAAACGTTTAGGAAAGAAAGGAAAGTGAACTACTTGTCATGTGACACAGCACACCACTGGTAGATTCTAGTAGATTCTGATCATTAGCTTCTTAAACCTTGTTTTTTTTTCTTCCAAGGTGAAGATGCTCAGTTTGAAATGGACATCTAACTGACTGGACCCGCAACAGCAAAAGCAGATGACCTGGCACCACCCGTGTGCCAGTGGCTTGGCTTGTAGAAACCAATGTTGTGAGCCCTCATGGCAGCCATTGTCTTCTTTAGCTCTCTGTCTCACTACTGGATGTAACATGTGTAACCCACAGGGACTCAATATATCATACCAGGTATGGTGGGGTCCACTCTGGAAAGCTATGTCCACTGAAATAGATTTCCATAGTGACCATAACGCTGTACAGATCAACTACTACGCAACAAAGGCAGGTCTGAATCTGACAAACTCCAAATTCATTGTCCACTGTGTAGACAGCAGTGTTCATTTTACAGCTGTCTGAATCAGAATCAAAACAGCACACTGTCAAATGGTTAATAATTCACTTTTTAATTTAATGGGAGAAAGAGGTGACTTTTATAACTGGCCTTATATTCACTCAAAAGCTCACACGCCTGGGTTTAAAAGGCTATTGTTAGCATGCTATTTAAATGATATATTTTTTTGGATTTACTTGAAGAGCTCCACCGTCTTCTGTCAGTTTAATTTAATTTGATGAGACCTAAAGGGAACTTGTTTTATTTTCCAATGTGATGAAAAAGTTTTACACCATTCCAAGATTGTTAACACATGACATAATTTACACAAGAATGTTAAAAAAAATCAGGGGGGAAATATCTTTCTGCTACTATTGTTTTTTCTGATCTGCAGATGATTGTATTCGCTACTATTAGTTGGGGCTGTTTTTAAATTGAAATGCAACTGCGAACAAGCTTTTTAACAGATTTACATAATGGTTGATTTTACAAATGTCAAACCAACGCTGTTGTGATCTTGCAAATTATTCTACATATGTTTTGCTCCTGCCAAGACAACAACACATCTTGAAATTCTATCTTTAGTTAATCAAAAATTGGGTTCTGCCAAGCATTTTTGAGCACATCACCAAATCTATCTAAGGCAAGAAAGTAATTCTTGGTGTTTCTCTTCTACATCTAGATAAGCGATTATCGGCTCATGTCCTGAAATACAAGAAAATCATTGGAAACACTAAAAAAAAAAACCCTGATATTCTTTATGCATTTAATTTGAAAGCACTTAGCATTGAAAGTATCCTTCTGCTCTGCTCTGTCAGACATGACAGATCTAATTTATACGTTTTATCTCCAGTGTCCTTAATCCATTTTAACAGTACTGTGTTCTTCTCATGTGTCTCATCTGTCCACGCCTTACTTGACATGAAATGCAGTAAAACTAAACCTAGACTCCTTGTCATCGATTTGTACTTTCCGACAGATGTTTATTTTTTCACTGTAATGTTGAACAGGCAACATAGTACGTAGTTAGCACTTGAACAAAACAATTTTTGTTTTGTGTTTTTTATGTTCCACATGATGTTCTCCATCATGCAGCTGTGACAGTTGAAAGTAAAGAAGTATATGAGGTTTTCAGGAATTCCATATGGTGTCGTGGTTCGTTGTGCCACATGCACATTGTTCAAACTTTTTAAAACACACGCCATTGTGGTCCTTCTCTGCTAATTGTACCGTGTCCAAGAAGTCACTTGGATCAGTACTTTCTAAAAGAATCTAAAATATATTCTTTCACATTTGTTTCTATGTAACAGGAGCCATTGAATGACCAAAAAAACTGTAACTACATTTTATTTCCGGTTTTAACTCATATTTGATGACAAAAACGTCAACTTGACCTGAACCTAATTTTCAGTGGAAAAATGTTTTGAATAAAACTCTCTGTAACATTACAATTAATTTCGTTTGACAAAGAGGGCTTAGCATTGTGTTAAAGGTGATGAAAACAAAATAACTGTAACCATCTGTTATGATTTTAAACATCATTATTTTAATTGAAACTCCAATGGCAATGAACATTGTTTCGACAAGATCAATAAAGTTCCGTAACACAAAAAAATTTTGTTTGTTTGTTTAAGATATTTTGCCACGTTATATGCTCTGGTATTATCAATAAAGTTCCGTAACACAAAAAAAAAATTGTGTTTGTTTGTTTAAGATATTTTTGCCACGTTATATGCTCTGGTATATTGTTGTTGTTTGTTTTTTTATGGTGGCATAAGAGAAAATGGAAAAAAATGCAAACAGGCCAATTTCCCTGACTGAAAAACAACATGGCTCAGGGTTTTTTAATGCTTTCTCAGCCACTTGACATATAACGGCCATTTTACTATATAACTTCTACCTATTTCCAGGTTTTTTTTAACTATCTTCGAGGACAGCACCTAAAGAGCATCAAATCTTTAGGTGCTGTCCTCGTTACTCTGTAAGTGTGTTTAAGTATTTAGGCATTTTGTAATTTAGGTACAAAAAAAAACATTTAAATGTTCAGCTTTCCGTGTCCCCCTCAATACTGCCATCAGGTGGATACAAGGAGGTTTGCTACTGGTAGCACCTACCTGTCCTTCGTCCATGTCCCACACCGGCTGGTTGTGAATAGTTATATTTATACACAAGTCCTCAGAACCACACCTTTCGTTGTTCCTTAATCGTTATATCAATTTTCTATATTAAACAGCCTCGGTGTCGTTTGCTTGTTTGCTTGGAAAACTTAAGTGCTTAATAAATGTAATGGTTTGAGGAAACATGTCAATGTAAAATTTTCCCCAACAACGATTACGATTTAATTTCCCTACCTTACGTTTAAAATAAAAAATAACTAGCATTTTATTACGACATTAGAGTATTTTTTGTTTTTACTTGTTTTTCGTCAGGCAACATAAGCGCGTGTCCTGTCTATTTCCAACAGGCAATAACCCGGCCGCCTACCGGTCCTTCCTCCTTTTCTACGTCCCTGAGCGAGGCCGACGTAAAGATGGTGAGTCTTGTGGCAAAAAATGAACTAAATCTTTTCAACATCGAGGCCATCCGTTAATCGTCATACGTGAATCACAGACTAATAGCTCACAGATACATACTTTATAAAACCATGTCGATATCGGCTTGATAGAAAGTGGTTTAGAGGAATAAATGAGCTTCTCTGAGATGCTAACCTGAATGTTGTTGGTCCTGTTACACATTTGCCTAACTTTGGCGGTTTTCTCATTTATATACTGTGTTTTGAGAACACTTCTGTCACAACAAAGCTCGACTAGAATCGTAGATAGTTAAATCCATGCAACTCGGTATTTATTAGTTTGATAAATAAACTCATGGGGTACACCAAAGTCTTAGCTTCTTGGCGTTCGTGCTAGCATACATTTCCGTGGCCTGGCTCCCAACCAAATGAGTAGATGGCTAAATACTGTATTGCAGTTGTGCATTATTTTAGAATCATAAGTTATTGTGTTCAATGGTTATGATTGGGTAGTAGAGACTTTAATTGTTTTATTAGCGGGGATGGAGCCGGGCAGATATGGGCCGTGGGGGAACTTGATGATCATGACAGTTGTGTAGCTATAACAAAATCGCATGTTGTGTGGTTTATGCCTGTAGTGTAACTAAAAGAAAACTGATCATTTTATTCATCTGCAGAATGACACAGTAACAGTAAGGACTCGCAAGTTCATGACGAACCGGCTGCTTCAGAGGAAGCAAATGGTAAGTGGCAGCATTTTCTCCATATTTGCTTATGTCGTGGTATATTCTCCCAGTTCTTAAAAAGGTAACCTCTTTTTCTCCTTGCAGGTCGTCGATGTCCTGCATCCCGGCAAGGCTACAGTCCCCAAGACTGAAATCAGAGAGAAGCTTGCCAAGATGTACAAGACCACTCCTGATGTTGTTTTCGTCTTTGGCTTCAGGACTCAGTTTGGTGGCGGCAAGACAACTGGCTTTGCCATGGTGTACGATTCTCTAGACTATGCCAAGAAGAATGAGCCCAAACACAGACTGGCAAGGGTGAGTTTTCAAATGTTCAGCCAAGTGTTTTGGCAGTAATTCATTTTTATTGATTATTTCAGCAGATCAAAGCAGCTGTGTAGCTTTATATTTATGTGCTGTTGAGATTTATTGTTGCTCAAGGCAGTGAGCTTGCTTGTGGCATCAGAGTAAATTAAATATTAGTCAGCCCCAACTCCTTTCTTTGTTATTGATATATTTCTGATTTTGTTTGAAAGCATTCACTGTTATTTGGTTGTTTTAAACCATAAATGACCACAAAATAACAAATAAAATGACTGTTTTTTTTTTATATAAAATTGAACAATTGCTAGAATTCCAGCCACGTTGGGTAAATTTACAATGTACTACTATTAAAACTGCCGCTGCTGAGACAACACACACACACACACACAGAGGTGATTGGATTACCGTGTGTTCATTTTGAGGATTCTCAAGTCACGATGAATCGTTTTTGTTTTTAGCACGGTCTCTATGAGAAGAAGAAGTCCTCAAGGAAACAGCGCAAAGAACGCAAGAACAGAATGAAGAAAGTCAGAGGTATCAAGAAGGCCAGTGTGGGTGCTGCTGGCAAAAAGGTAATGTAACGGTTCCATCTGGGTTTTTACCAAACAATGACAGTGATCATTAGCACTGCTGAACTTGGAAGTTTTTGTACTTCTCTGTGGTCAGAATTAGTGTAGGTAACAAATGTTCAGTTAGTTGAATTTTGATAGCCTTGTTGAGAAGTGGAAGAGACACAGACATTGAACTGATCTTACTTCATTTTGTGTCTATTTGATTTGTATTTCACTGCATGTTCTTTTTTTCCTCCTATTTTTTATTTTCATTTTTAAATATTCTTTGCCAACTCTCAAAAAATATCAAAAACTCTTATGGAACTGTAGAAGGTAAATTAATGTTTTTATAAAGTCACTACAGTGTATTGATAATCCAGGATTGATAGACAGACTCATCCCCACGTCCTCGTCTCTCACTTGAGCACAAAGTGTTGCTTCGTCCCTCACATTAGATGAAAAACAAATGGTCCTGAACTAGTTCTCACATCACTTAGTCTTTCCAACCTCAAACACTGACCTAAAGGATCACATACAGACAGTTGTACTCCTGACATGAGCAGATTCTACAGAACAGTTCCAATGAAGACTGAAGTATTCCAACATTTGAGTAATTAACTCTCCTGTTGTATTAATACTATGGTTACTACACATCTAATTAGTGCATGAGTCCAGGTGTGCAGCCACATCTTCTGGTTTCAACTCGCTCATTTAAAAAAACCCAACTCTTTCCAGTTCCCCTCTTGCCATGTTTCAACATGTAAACTTTATTTTCTCCCTCTTTTTTTGTTTTGTTCCTGATTTTGCTCGTCATGGATTTCTTTGACAGAAATGAGGTGTCAGTGTGCAGGTATAGAAGCAGCAGCAGCATGGTGTGCCTTTGTGTGGCACATCAAAAGCTGATAGACCTGAGCTGTGCCCTGCATGTTGTGTCCCCCGCTGCTCCCCACGCCCCACAGTTTTTTTTTCACATTCTCCTTCCCATATAATAGTTTATTTCCCCCCTTGTCTGCTTTACTGTGCTTATCCTCTTAAAATAGATGAGTGCTGTAGCAAATCATACTAGTAGCACTTGGATACAAATCTGATGTTTAAATATAATTTAAAAGTTGGAAAATGTTTCTAATCAGCTTAACTACATCTGTCTCAGTTTGTCTTTAACTGAAGATGACTCACGTGTTGAGTGTCTCTGTTGATAAAGTCAGAGTGACATGTACTGATTCTGCTCTTTCTCTCTCCACAGTGAGCCTGATCAGCCAGGGATGGTCTTCGTGCTCAACATGTTCTTGTATATTGTCATCGAATAAAAGTTTGGGAAAAAAATTGAAAAATTATTGTCTGGTCTTTTTAAAAAAAAAAAGTTTGGATTTGGTTTCATTTACAGATTTCTCTCCAGATTTTATTCAGTTATTCAGCTCCCCGTCTTTCAGCTGAGTTTTGTAGACTAGTGACATCTAGTGGTAGTGTAACAGTTGTTCTGTTATCTATCGTCTGTCCAGTCACAGTACTTTAAGTGACGACATCTTTGTCAGATTAAAGTGTTTGGTTGTTTTAATCACTTATGTTTAAATATTATTTACCTTATTTTGTTCTGGAGGTCATGACTGAAAACACAGCTCTGCAGTTGGACTGTTGAATTAGTCATTTTAAATCAAGTATTTATCTCTTACTTAATATTCAGAACCACAGCAGCGTCTAAACAAATCTGCACTTTTGCCCGTTGCTTTTATAAACATTTGGAACAGAACGGAGATTGCACTTTGCAGCGTGACCTTTCAGATCATTTGCATGGAAATAACCTGCGTGTGTGTAAATGAAGTGATTAAAATACCAGGGGCGGCTTCTCCATTATACTAACACTTCCTCAGGTATAACAGCAGGTCAGAGTCTGAATGGAGTGCTTTCAGAAATGGAACTACAGAGTAAATAAAAGTGATGGGCCTTAATATAATAAAAACAAGAAGCAAGGGACAAATAATGTTAAACAATGGAAATGGAAAACACTTTTTGTGTTTAAAAAATGAACTTGTTTTTTAAATCTACAGCAAATCATTAATTTAACTACTCTTTTATGAGTGGATCTAAAAGCAGCCGAGATAACGGTCACCGTAAAACGTTTTTATAACAACGTCTGTTTCGGAGGGGGAGAGACTGCCTGGCGTCGCTGCCTCGTCTGTCTGAGATCGGACAGAAACGAGAGCCTAAAATAAAATAATCTGCAGCTCAGACTCACCAATCAATCACACAGTCTGTATAATAAATGGACGCAGTTCTGTGGTTGGAACAGTGGAGCCAAAAGACAGGTGGATTTTAAAAATCAACTGTCCGCCAAACTAGTGTACCCCTGTAGGTGCAATGTTGTAACTGCACCCTAATGTTTTTGTACAGAGGATTTAAAACCGTCCAATTACTAAGACATTACAAGTCATTCAAACACATGACTGACAGTCAGTCTGATGGAGTGTGGACAGGAAGGACAAAGGACAGACAGAGGAGAGACAGACAGTTCAGTGTCTCTGGTTCGCCGTCTCCCTCTGCTGGTGTGTGGTTATCGGAGGTTTGACATAAGTGGAGCTTTCAACCCAGGGACCGCTAACAGATGGTGGTGGGAAATTAAAATCCTCCCTCCACACACACACACACACACACACACACACACACACATACACTGTGGGTCTGTCCCAGGAGCCTGTCCCTCCCTCCCTGTCTTCTTTGTCTTCTTGTCTCTCTCAGCCATTGTTTTCCGTCTCTCTCCGTCACATTTATACTTGTTTTTCTCCCTAATCTTATGGCCTTGCTCCTTTCGTTTTAATAACTGTAGGAGGAAATTGTTTCCCGCTCCCCTCCTTTGTGTTTTAGTTTGAGTCCAAAGCAGGATGACATCAGTGATAGAGTTAAGATGATGGTGAGAGGAGTAGAAACTTGAACTGAGGGTGAAAAAGTCAGGAGTGACTTTTGAGGAAGTTAATCATAGAACAACAGGGAACAGATCTGAGTGTGAGGTTTGGTGAAAAAGGAACTTCCACCAAACTGTTCCTCTTTTCAGGTGAGGACGAACAGTAGATGTTCACTACTAAACACCATTGAATTATACATATATACTGTATATTTTATATATTTTTATATTTTCTTAGAATGCACAGTATCTACCAGCACTCCCTTTCTGATCTACTGTCAGACTCCATCCTAGTTATTAGGCAGCCCTGCAATAAAGGATTAAGCCAGGGATGTCAAACATAGGGCCCGTGGGCCGCTAGGGAGTTCAATATGGCCCGCTTGACGAATTTTGAAAGTGAAAAAAAAAACACACTTCATGTTGGTTATGTTTCATCAAATTATATTTCATTAAATATGAATAATTTCTAATATACTTGTACTTATTTGCAGGAAAACAAAGGGGGGGGAAATATGGACTCAGTCTGTTGACAAGGCTAATAGCAGATGGGAAGACGTTGTTGTTGTGGCCAGAGGTTTCCCTGCCCAAGGGGAGCGCCTCAAAGAGTTTGTGACCGGGGTGAGAGGGGTTGGTTACAATCTTTTTAGCTCGCTTTAGGGTTCTGGAGGTGTACAGGTCCTGTAGCGAAGGTATATATGTCCCTTCATATATATGTCCTATATATGAAGGTATATATGTCCATACTGTCCATCCGTGAAAACTAAACTGACCTGAGTTTCCTTCAGGCATTTAAATACGAAGCGTCTCCTCCTGCCGAGGTGTGGACGTTTACAATAAACTATTACGAGGAACTGTTGCTGGTGTCCTCACAACAGGTGTCGTTTTAATGACTTATCATGCAGAGTGTTTAGTCCTGTTATTCTGGACCGGCGAGGCTCCTGCAGATATCAATAGGTGTAATAGATCACAGTGTTACTGTGACCCCCACCCCTTCCCACCCTGCGCACGTCTCTTTACACATGCCTGGACCTGTCTTTGCTAAAGTGAAGATAATGCGGTAAATTAGCACTAGCTCTTCCTCTCAGGTTCTGCTGCTAAATTTACGCTCCTAATTACGCCGCTCATCTGTGTTTGTTTAGCTCCAGAGTGTAGGTTTTCAGTTACAGTGCGAATATAACTCTACACCGGGCCAAGTTGGTGCCATAAAGTGTGTCCATGCGTCTGACGATGCTCTGCATCTTAATGAGGTGTCTCTCTCTCTCTCTCTCTTGTTGGCCTCAGCAGGGAAATCATCACAGCTCATTTTGCAGTCCTGCAGTGTCCTATCAGCTTTGCCAGCCTGCACTAAGTTCACTCCATCTGCCAGTTGCTAGGTGCTGATATATAAAATGATCGGCGCCTCGGTAGCCCCTGAGCACCAGGGAGGTGATTTGCTTTTGAGGACAAACTGTGTTTGGTGAATCCTAATTATCCTCGCTGCATCCGCGGCCCAACATGGGTTTGTCATTTATGCCCCTCTGGAAGAGGCAGAGAAATCCGGCGGAGGAACTACATCTGCCCAAACGCAGAGAAAACAACATTTGTCACATTCTGTTGTCGCCCTTAAAACGGAACAATTTCTTTCCTCCGTCTTTTTCATCTCTTTTTCTTTCATCTTCGAGAAGAAACCGACGGGTTCTTTTTAAACACGGGAGTCCGACCTGGTGTGCATGTGTGAAAAAGCAATTCTCAGTTTCAATTTGGTCAGGTGCGTTGACAATCCTCAGTGGACTTTAACCAGAGTGAAAACATGCCGAGGCTCAAAGGATATCAGACGAGGAATTCGAATGTTTTTGTCATCAGGGGAAAAAAAGTGTGGAGCCGAAGAATAGGTGATAAAAATGGAATAGTTTGGATAATGGAAGGAGGGAGATAAAGAGAGAGAGAGAGGGAGGGAGAATCAGAGGGGTGAGGAAATATGAAAGGCAGCAGATGTGTGTGAAAATGTAACTCCACACATCTTCCACCTGGTGGAGAAGTTGTTAGTGCATCAGTTCCAGCCCCCGTAACTGATGTTCTTACCGTGAGTGAAGGTTCTCTCCAGGTTCTCCAGTTTTCACGTACAGTCCAAAAACATGTATGTAACTTTTTATTCACTCCTAATTGACTACAGGTGTGAATGTGAGTATATATGTATATATATAAATAAATATACATATAAATATACGTATATATATATATTTGTATATGCATATATATATTTATATATCAATATATATTTATATATATTAATATTTGAACCCCCAGTGGGCCAATTTTGGTCCGCGGGCCGTATGTTTGACACCCCTGCTTTAGACCAATGTTTCCCAAAGTAGGGCTCAGGGCCCCTCTAGGGGGTTTATGCAACACTGCAAGTGAATAGCTCTGAATTTGTGGGGGCTCGACAAGAGCACTAACGCTAGAAGGGACCCGGGGGGCGCTACAGAAAAAGTTTTGGGAAACCGCTGCTTTAGACTCAAATTATGAAAAAAACTGAGAGAAACGTCTTCCTCCAACACAAACAGTCTGTAAGTTACCCTCGTTCCTGGGACGTTAGCTGCCTAGGAAGAAATTTATAGATTTAATTTGTGAAAATAATTCTCCCTCAAGGACGAACTCGGTCCACCTCCCCACTCCCCCCGGTCAATGAAACTAATTTGTGTTTGTGCCTCTGTGATGCAGCTTTCAGGGCACCAGTGTGACCGTGTTACATGCTTTTCCAATAGCATTCTGAAAACCAATTGTCTCCGTCTCCTGTGGCTCCACCGTGGGTTTTTTATACAGTCTGTATGTCACCGGTAGAAAGAGCAGGCAGTCCAATTGTTCAAAAGACTTTATTCCAGGCGAGGACGGGACAAGGTTGTCTCTGGACTCCACATGACGCGCTGCTGTCGCCGCAGCTGAGTTATTCTGCCACTTTCCAGCATTCCCCCGCTCATTGGTATTCCTTTTCATATTACCCTCTTTAATCAGCGGCAGAGAAGCCCTGATTAATGGCGGCGGAGTGAGCGGTCTCCCAGTGATTCATTAAACAGCAGTGACACGAATAAAAAGGGGAGATTTGCTCATATTGCCTTTTCAGAGCCCATAATATGTTCTGTCGCTGGAGGAATGAATAATTCATGGTGTTGTTAGTGACTCTCGACATCACCCTCACATAAAGCACAGGCGGCTGTTATATAAAAATAAATGGAAAAAGTCAAGTTTGTCATTACGGTTATATTAGGCCGTAGTTAGGAATAATTGATGATCCCGCGTTAAACGCAGCTAATCTTAATTTATTCACTTTTCTGTTAACACTCTCGCCCGGATCATTTCAACGTGATCTCCGGTTTGACTGATCATCTCATCGCCGCTAGATTTTTATGTTAATCTCCCCGATGTGCTGGAGTCCATACAGTTCATTTCTGCCATTTTGATTCGACATTCACTGCCATACGATCTTCAATGTCTTTATTCATTTGTAGTAAAGGTGAACATCAAGTATGGCGTTTTTTCCCGCCGTTAACCCACAGCACTCTTGGGAGAAGTGTTTAAGTTTTAACACATTTTGGTTGAAGTGCTTTGTTGATTTTTTTTGCATCTGGAGAGAACGCCGCTGTAACATACATTTACTTTTCCGGCAGGAATTTGCTGCCTTTGCATTGTACTAAATGATGTGCATGAGGGGACCTATTATACGTCCTGTGTGTGCTAGTGAATTGAACGCAGCTGAACACCGTTCCTGCGTTTGCTGACTCAATATCCTGGGATAATGGTGGAGAGTTTTATGGTAATTTTATAGTTTAATGGGTCAGTGAATCTCCTTGTTTATTATTAAAAAAAAATCGAGATTATTACCAAAGAAAAACAATCTGTGATTACGTGGCCCCTTTATTCACAAAAAAATGTTACTGTCTGGAATAGAAACGCGGGCAGAGCTTAACAACAGTGTGCGTTAAAGGTCGTGAGTTGAAGATTCCTCGTAGATCCTGCACGGCGTTCTCATAAGTGACATCCACGAAGGCACCGGCCATTTACACAAGAACGAAACCCATCTTTGAGCAAATCACCTCTGCGCTCCCATCCACCACATTATCATGGATTGATTTCTATCAAACATTACCCCCGCAAATGAGCGCCGACCATCAGGCGAGTGTCATTACTGCCGCTCATTTGTGAGGCTCGAGACGATCGGATGTGACAGCGGCGGAATTCGCTCCGTGTCGCCTCTCTGTCACTCTCATCCGTAACTGCTTCTGGGTGGGGAA